ACGAGTTCTAAGACTGCTGGAAATAGCGCGTGCGCACTGTGATGTTGTGCAATTTAAAGGTTTAGCAGTACACCCCTGTGCGGAACGTTGGTATCCACCTCTGAGGGAATATGGGCCAGGTCCGGCCATTGCTGCCCTTATGAAGCTTTCGTTTGAAGAAGATCATCGCACGGCCATTTGCGAACTCGGTGGCCTTCAAGCTATCGCTGAACTCGTGCAGATCGATCACCAGGTGAATGGACAGTGCAAAGACTTCTACAGCATCAGTCTTCGTAAATATGCAGGCATGACAATTACCAATCTTACTTTCGGTAATACGAAGAATAAGAGCTTGTTGTGCGGGATCCCAGGTGCTGTAGACGCCATTATCGCTCAGCTGAACACCATTGAAGAAGAAGAGATTATTCAAGTTTCTGCAAGTGTACTTAGAAACCTGTCTTGGAGAGCGGATGAATTTTGCCGCAAGACTCTTCGCGAAGCTGGTGCAGTGAAAGCGTTGTTGGCAGCGGCCCAATCATTACAGGGCGAACCCGCCCTGAGAACAACCCTCAGTGCTCTTTGGAACCTGTCAGCTCATTGCTCGGATAACAAGGCAGAGATTTGTGCGGCACCAGGCGCCCTGAATTTCTTCGTCAGGTGTCTCAACTACTCGAGTCCCTCTGGTAACATTTCCGTGGTAGAGAGCAGCGGAGGAATTTTGAGGAATCTTTCGTCACACATTGCCGTGCGTCCCGACTATCGTAAAACCCTCAGGGATTGCGGCTGCTTTCAGATAATGCTCACTCAACTACGTTCGCCAAGCCTAAGAGTCGTCAGTAATGTGTGTGGTGCCTTGTGGAACCTGTCGGCTCGGTGCGTCGAGGATCAGGAGCTCCTCTGGGAGCTCGGTGCTGTGTCTCTGTTCAAGTCGCTTATCAATTCGAAGCACAAAGCCATTGCCCAGGCCTCAGCTGCAGCCTTACGAAATTTGATGGCTGTGAAGCCAGGAAGTTCTACTGATAACGAGTCAACATCATCCCGTGCAGCCAGACACTATCGCAGTATGCCTGCGAATATGCGATCAGCAGAGGCACAAGCTAGAATTAAAAGTGATTCAGCTAGAGTGTTAAACAGTTCTTCGAGAACTCAGTCTCCAATACCCCAAGGCCAGGCTACCCAGCCTCCACTTTCCACGCGTCAAGCTGCAAAGCAGGATCACGAAGCTTCCTCTCACCCTGCAAATAATGTCCAACAATGTCCGGTACACCCCCATGGCCTTGTCTCTAAACAGACGGAAGACTTCAGATCGCAGCCTTCCTACTCCGCCGGTCAGGCTGGTATCGTCTCAGTCACAAGGCAAGATGTTGATGCCGCATCACGTGTACAGCAGTCTAGGAAAAAGAAAGTTGGATCTTCTGCCTCTCTCGCTCACTCGAGCTCAAGCTCCAACCATGGCGTTGTCCAGGATGTCGAACCCAGTCCTTCCCTCCTACGGAGCAGATCAGATGTTGGTCCCAGGGCTCTGGCCGGTAGACAACGGAGAGCTAAGGCACGAGGCGTTGACGCGAACAGTGTGGGCAGCGGAGCCTCTCTGGAGGGAAGACATGCTGCAAATTTTAAATGGAATCACAGCAATGATTCACTGGCTAAGTATCGTCGCCAACCTCGCCGAGATGCCTCCGTGAGGCAGAATTACGAACGGCCTGATGTCGATCCCCGTCATAGTGGACAAGCTACCGAAAAGCGCCAACACACTCGTTCTTCGAGCGACGGCTGTGTGGTAATACCTCTATTGTGTGACTCGTACCCTTTACATGTATCACACAAACCCAAGAGAGACACATCAAGAGACAAGGGTTCTGGAGAGGCGTCTGTGATATCCAAGATCAGAAGTGTGGTACAGAAAAACTTTGAAGGAGGAGGCGGACACCCTCAGCAGTCAGTATCTCAGCAGGGAGAGACTACTTCCATGGTTTCCCCGTCTACAGTTAAAAGACTCAACCAGTGGGCTGAGGCATGTCCTGGAGAGACTTACGAGATGACAGAGTTTGGGCTACAGGAAGAGAACTCCTCGAAAATACGTCAAGCGGTAAAGCAGCCCGGTACCTCGGATCAAATCTTCGCAAACATTGCGCGATCTGATCAGAAGCACTCAACACAGAAGTTCAAATCCTACCGTGACTCAGACAGTGACGCAGATACGGAGATCGCTATCGAAGGTGAACGAAACCTGTTCGGTCGCCCTCGGAAAGTAATAGGTTATTTCGAGGTGGAAAATGCTTGGATTCAAAAACCGACATTCGAGGCTAATCCTTCTCGTTCAGCGGACACGGAGAGCGTTGCTTCATCAACTTGCAGCTGTGACCCAGTGGAGAATGTCTGGATTCGTCGTCCAGACGCCCAAAGCTCTACAAAAGGTAATTGTGGGAAGTGTAATCGCAGTCGAGCCGTTAAGAATTCGGAAAAAAATATTCCTAAGAAACAGATGGTGAAAAGTAGACGAGATTCGACTGACTCTCCAATATCCAGCCCCAGCTTGCATCGTGTGTTCAAGAGCTCGTCAGGGCGCGAACAGAAAAAGAATTCTGATCCAAGCAAAAGAGGAGTCAAAGTTACGTCGCTGTAAAAAAGCCATTCAATCTCACGCATGGAATTTTATGAAAAAATCAAGGAACAATTCCTTTTAAAGTGATTTAATACGTAGTTCATCATAATGGCAAAGTCTGTAGCTCATATACTGAACACCTCTCGAGTGGTTTACATTATGAAAGGCTTTTGGTGTCAGCAAGTGGTAAAATTTTCCTTAATGAGAACTCCGAAAGTTAACTTTATTCGTCAAGATCATCCTGATTGGCTGTTGATATCTGTTCAAGAAGGGATGTGGAGGGTGTTAGGTGATTAAGTTGTGTCGAATACAAAATCACTGTAGATATATCTAGTGTTGCTATGTTAACGACAGCTTCTATTTGGCGGGAAAATATGCACGGATATTTGTCTGCGGATATTATCTGTTCCAAGATGCGAACAGTTTTCCGAGAACGAAGCTCGAGGAGATTTATATGGTTCGAGGAACAGATAATGTCCAAGGAACAGTATACGAGGATAATTTCGCTCATAGTAGAGGCTTTTGTGGTTATTATCCTTCAAGTATTTTGCAACGCGTGTGAAAAAATGTTTACAAACAGGGTACTGCTGCCGGTGTGGGGTGTTTTGTTTTTTATTCTCTTGTACGACTTAATGAACAAACAATTCTTTCCCTCCTTCAGTAACAACTACAAAACGCTCTCTCATTTTGAATTAAATTTTAAACGAGGATTTATGGTAGTGGACGTAAGGTTTAAAATTGGGGAATATCACTTGGGTGATATCCACGGATATCCCCCAGTTTTAGGTGGGAATATTCGGTCACGTGATTTTTAGACCAATCGCGCGCAAGCAAAAATAATCGATGGATCATAACGGTATATATTACATCATATACTCACAAATTATAATATATGGTCAAAGTTATTTGTATAGAACACCAGTCTTCTCATCTTTTATGTGACAATGATTACAAGCTCATAAATTGCCTCGTGGCTTAAATTGGTTTGAAGTTTGTTCAAGGCGTTGTTGGATTTAAATGTTGTCGTTAGCCACTGCTTTCGTTTGGAGGAGCTAGGAATGTTATCTTACGACGTTTGCATCCTCCAGGTAATTGGTAAAACATGCCAGAAATTAACGTGGACGCTAAAACGCGGCGAGAATTTGGAACAGGCAGTGAATAGCGAACTTCTTAAGACTGAAGGTTTTTATCCTAACCTTTCACAAAAGCTTCTCTAATCACCTTCACCTTGTAGGCAAAGAAAAGTGGTTCAAAAGCCATCATTTTTTTTGTTATCTTCACGAGGTGTAACTGTTGCCTTTAGCTTCGTGTGCAATATTTGAAGATCAATATTAACTTATTATTTTTGCAGAGTTAAGTTCAGAAGCTAAAGAGACGATAATAATAAAAATTTAAATTATTTCTACTGTGTGACTGTCTTTTCCTTGTACAGCTTCAGTGATCAAAATTCGGGTTGTTGGTGAAACCTTTTTAAAATCTGTTCGTTGTCTCGTGTCATTAAATATGATTAAGTGAGAAATTTCGTTAGAGTATGGATATAATAAAGCGTAATCAAAACTGCATGCTGAACAAATCGGAAAATATTTTTTAAGGACCTAATATTACATAAGTGGGAAAAGGTGAACTAACAAGTCGCGATTAGTTGTTAGGTTAAAATACAGGCTCGATTATTTCGATCAAATCTTGGATAACTTTGGTCAATTGACGACTGCCTTCACCTAAAAACATCTACTTGAAGGAGCCATCTGAATTGCACCCGGTCGAGATCAGCGAAAGCTGAAAGTTATTCTCTTCTGTATTTAGTTACCTATATGAAAATATTTTCCTTCAAGAAATTTTCGAAACTGTGACTGCGAAGATCCCTAACATAACCGTTCGTCGAATTTCTTCATACGAAATCATTCCATGTTTTAAGTTTCGTTTCAAGAGCGTTACAGCAAGGCCACTGTATGAGGTATGACGAAGTGATGTATGGGTAAACAACTTGCTATCTTGTACATAGTGAAGGAATTTTATTACCAATTTAAATTGGAGCAGGTCCACAGAATCACAGTGGAAACTGATTTTTCTTTTTAGTACATTAATAGCCTAGATTTCTGTGTTTGTCCAACATCATCGACAGAAAGGTAATAGAGAAAGTAGCGAAATCACTATTTACTTTAGGCACTTCTAACGGTCAGAAATTAAAGTAACAAAATATAGCATCCTCGGCGAAATCTCACCAGTAGCCGAAAAATGTCCGACGTCATTTGGCTATTCGAGCTCCTGAAATATAGAGTTGCTTAGCAACGTCGATTCGTTTTTAGTCTCTTAAGCGAGGAATATTCTGATGTCTTTGGGTGGAACGCTCGGATTCCCAAATTCTTCTGACTCTACTCCATATCCACGACTAGTATTTTAAAGTACAAATCAATATTTGTGAATTGTAGTAATTTTTTCCTGCCTATAAACTTGGGCAGAAATTACGCTTTTGAAATTCCTTTATATAGCTAAATATAAATTGTCTTTCCTCTTAGCGAGGACATTGATTCAATGATTTTTTTAAACCGCGATGATATCTAATGCTCTATCGTTTTGAAACAGTTTACGCACAAGCATGACTACAAACTGTGGTCCTTCCATGAGAGAATTCAGAGGATTAGCAATAAATGAATAAGCTTCCATGATGTGTTCTGCTAGACTCGCGTATTGTTTGTTAACTCGAAGTGTTTCCAAGTTATTCAGAGCTTGCTCGGCTTCGGCAGTGGAAGAAATGACACGTCCGCCTGGGGCTAACTGCTTTGCCTGCCACGAAAGAACAAAAAAAAAAGCAACATTAGGCACACTTTGGAAGTAGTTCTTCTACGTTGCACATTAAATTTCCAAGATGATTATTTGTAAAGCCGCAAAGAGTACGTTGTTAATGAGTCGAAAGTAATACATGATTGCATTAATTTCATTCATTTCGCCTTGTATTGGTGTAAAAAACTCACGTCATCCAATCAGATGTGAAAATAAAGCCAGTTGCGCTCAGTTCCCTATCGTGTTACCGCGCTGGAAATCGAGTATTTGTGTTCCTTGAGATATCAGTGGTATATAAATTTTGCTCTTAATGGCCGTTGTGATAGCTATGGTTTTAGTTCTTCGACACCAGATGGTAAAGAGGTAAGTTTCAGGAAAAAATTCTATTTTGAATCTCAAACAGTGAAATTGGACTGAAGGATTCTGATCGTACCCCTTTCGGTTCTCGCACATATCCTGGGGCTTTGGCTTCTAGTCTCAAAAGAGAGTTTGAAGGCATCTGTGCCAGCAGGAAAGCTTCCAATGCGCGGCACATGAACCGGAATCTGCAAAGAAATGAGAAATTAAAGAACTACGTACAATGTACTGATTTTTAGGTGAGTTTGTTTCAACATAGTGTTAAAAACTGGAGATCGCTCAAGTGATTCACGAGTTTCTTCTAGCACCCTAAATCAACTACCCTCAATCACAGTTCTGTCAATAGAGGGCTACAGTTTATCAATCTTGAAAAATTCGACTGACACTTCTTTTAAACTTTTTGTTTATCCATCCTTCATCACCCTGGTTTTTTTTTATTATCCTTATCTCGTAGATGTTTGTCAACCCGAAAAAAAAATCATTTTAAGCTTTTATTTCATTCGGTGACAATACTCTGTGTCGCTGAAATGTGACCATAAAAATTGCAAGGTGCTTCCTTCAAAGTAGTTGTGGCAGAAACTGCCCGCAGAGAGCGTCGACTGTGTTAGAGACAATCGGCTCAAAGAAAAAACACAAAAATACTCACTGAACACTAAGCTGCGACTTCTTTCCAAATCCAATAGCTCCTAACAAACCAGCAGAAGACTTGTCTTCTCCTAACGAATGCAGATACGAAGCAAGAAATGACAGCTGTTTGGTCAAATCTTGTAAAGGTCCTTTTGCATAGTAAACCTGTCTCACAGACAGTTGGAGAATCTTGTGCCACAGTAACGTAACCTTGGTTTCAAATTCACGCCTATGATAAACGAGATTAAGAAACTCAAATAAAGGCAGGTTCAGACACAAATCTTTACCCCATGATCTGATTCGTAACTCTCCCTTGCAGATCTATACATTTCCTTTTAAATTGATCCAGAGAATCTTTTATCACATCGTGACAACTGTCTAACTCTCGAGCTGATGAGTGTGTATTCTGTTTCACCCGCTAAAAATCATATCCATATCCTCACCTCATTTTAATTTGCGAGCACCACGTGACTATATCAGTAAGAACAGACATCTCTTGGACTGGACTTTGACATGAGGACAACTTAAGGAGTATGTTTGTGTAGAGCGTCAGCAGAGCACCTTGCCTGACACATTCTGAAAGAATAATATAAATCACTCCATGAAATATGTCACTAACCGAATAAAAGTGCATTAGAGTAGCGCCCGAGTAGTTGCAAGAGTTTGTTTTATCAAAGGAGAAGACGCAGACTATTGGTTTTTTGTACAAATCTTCCAGCCTTCTTCTCCTAGGCTACTAGCTGTCAATTCTGCGATAGATGGTGAGTTAAGTTAATACCCTAACAGTGTGCAGCTGAAAACAAACCAAAAAAAGAAAAACAACAACAACAACAGGAGTTCTTAAAATTTTCAAAGGCTATTACATCAGTACTACAAAATTGAGATTATTCATTCTCGATATCTAAGCGTGATAGTTGATAAGAGCAAAAACCAGAGCTCATAACCGAACTATGAAATCACATAGGACTCGTGATCGAGTCTAGTCCGGGATTTTCGTGTTGTATCCTCTCACAGTGTCACAATCTCTCTTTATATAAGTGAGCGGTTTGTCCCGAGGAGCTGGCGAGAATTGGCCTGGAAAATAAAACAAAAATAGAACTGACCTTGAACAAATTCATCTTGTGCGAGCTCCGGCACCGCTACACTGGGTACAACTTGTGCCCAGCCTCCATCCACGTCCGTTTGAGCCCCAGTGGGGTTTGGTGGCGAATACTTTGTAAAAAATGACTGGATTCCAGTCTCCGCAACGGAGACCATGTACTGGATGTTAGCAAGGGTCCTACAAGCTGCCGATATGGACACCAAGACAACCATTGTACAAGAAGTATCGCGGATGAACTGCAATATAGAGTCCAGAGTAACACGGAGTACATCTCCCACGGGAGAACAAATGTTCAAGAGGTTGAGTGCCTCGGACATCATCATGCACACCTCTGATGCAGTACTTGCTGGATCAACACCTAGGTGGAAGGTAATTCATAGTTCACAAGATGACATTCTAGAAATTCACGCCAAGTCAGAGAAAGCTGGGGACTGACCAACGTAAGTGGTCAAAACATATCTTAGGATACCTTTGAGAAAATCGAAGCTTCAACGGAAATTACCGCTATAGCAAGGGTGGCGCTTCTCACACTGCGCAACTTTCTGCAGGGAAGAGCGATAATTTCCCTTTGCGTTTTCTTGTGAAGCTATAGCGAGTGCATTCCAAAGTGTTTTATTGGTTACTGAGCGTTTCTGCCTTGAAAATAATTCGAAATTTCTCAGACGAGGAATTTTCCGTGTGTAGGTTAATGCGCTCTTTACTGACCTGAACCAGCAACAGACTCGATATCTTTAAGTACAAAAAAAATCACAGGTCCGTAAGATTTGACTTTGTGTTTTGTGTCCATCGAGCACTTGGACAGCAAACTTGCTACACATCGAACGTACGACGCACGCTTTGCTGCTGTGTCCTGAAACAAGATAGAATTTTGGCTTGTTACTCGAAAATATTTGAAATGTTTATAATTTCCAAGTAACTTACACACAACTAACGATTATTAGCATTCCTGCCCATCTTGGATGGCAGGAAACTCAGGATGAGAACTCCCATAAAACATGGGGAAGGAAGGGTGTGTCATGCTTCTTGACTCTAACGATGAATTTCGCTCACGTTTTCGAAACGTCAGACCCTGTTATTGACAACAGTACTTTTCAGGACAACGTTTCGCAAACGGACGATCAGACCACTTGATCGACTTCTTGAAACCGTGCACTCTAATTCAGAGCAAAGTAGATTATCACCATGTCATACCTAAGACATTAACTGCTCCCAGCTTGAGTAAAGATATGAAGAAAGAAAGAAGACTAGGCTTCCGTGGTCACAATCATGTTTCTATTCAATTCAGATCATGCGATGATACCTTAGGGAGGTCAAAATTGTGCAATTTGTTGCACGCAGCTCTGCACTCGGGAATATGTACGAACGGGACAATTTGTCCCCACCGTGGGGGGGGGGGGAGGGGGAAACGTTCAGGTCAACCTCTAAAATTGCGTCTCGGTCAACCGCGATGGAGGGCTTTCATTCTGAAATTCTCTTTCCCTATTAGCAAAATTTCTGGTGAGGATGCCCATCTGCTATTTTCTCGACACGTTAAAATCTACGCTCTGGTTTGTACCGTTATTCCACCAATCACCAATTCTGGCTTATGTCTAAGAAGCTTGATGACATGAGGAATGTTAAAATAGAAAACAATTAACAGGCCATTCTGCCCATTTTTAACAATCAGCACAGCAAAGGCATTTCAGAAGAAACTTACAGGGCGTGTAGGTTGCATGGAGCCATCTTCAGAGACTACAATTCCTGCAGCAGCTCTGATCAACCTAAAATAAAACAAAATACTCTAACACACCAACACACTATTAACTTAGTGTGCACCAACTACACCAGAGGTTAATTTGAAACCGCTGTCCTGTCTTGAGTAAGGACCGATTTGTTCAAACTGACCGAGATGACTACTGGAAATGTTTTTGAAAAAGCCTTCGGAAATCGAGGGATATATGTTTCTCTTCAATATATATCCCAACACCATTTCTTCAACCAATTCCAAATGGCTCTATTCATAACCAGGAAGTCTACCACAGTAAGATCACGAACAAACGGCCTTTTGTGTCGAAGCGGCTCATCAAACAGCAGTTACAAGAAGACGTTTTTGAAGTGAAAATCAGATATTGTCTTGAGAGTTATATTCATCGATAGATTGAAAAAACTGTGATGCCGGTAAAAGAACTGGAAGCATAATTTTCCAGGGTTTTGATTTCGTGTGGAAAAGCTAAGTTACTAACCTCAACGCATGCCAGATACAAGATTTCTCGTCTAGCACCAACTCAGCCGAACCGTTATCAACTTGCCAAGAGACAACTTGCTCGAAAGTTCTGTGAAAATGAAAAAAAATGTCATTATTTTGTGGGATTTACTTCAGTTTGACAATTGGATTTTGCAAGACCAACCAAGGAAACAAAGATTTAGTTGACAACCAAAACAATCAAAACAAGACAAAACAAAAAAACCAACTTGCACTAAAGCGAGTATTCATTCTGCTTAATTCAATTGAATTCAATTGATGAGATGCTAACAAGCCGATTCATAGCTCTCCAAAGATCTAATCCCTCAAACTTAAAGTAGAATACCGGAAATCTAAAAGCAAAGCATTAGTTCAATACTTACCTTCCATCAAGGTAATGCCAGGGAAATGCGAGAGCAACATTGAGCAACTCAGGCATCTTGGAACCCTGTAAACAGAACGTATCTTAAGTGTCTGATTCTAAATATCTCAAAAAGAATTCTCCATCAAAACCTCTCATTTCCTTGGTCCCCGAGGTGAGAAACTTCAATGTTACGTCTGTAGAAACCTTTGTTGGCGTATTCTCACAACGTACTTACTGACAAAAATTTAGATATAGTAAGGAGAAGGTATAAATTGATCATTTCTTGATGGAGAATAAGGGTTACACTTTTCAATCCGGGCTGACGTGACACCGTGTACTAAATCACAGCCAACCACAGCAAAAAGTACGACGTTCTTGAAGCATTCTATGTTACTTTTATGTCGTTTGTTGTTGCGCTAGAATTGTTTGGCAGTCCAGCGTAATATTCACGGCGCTGTAGTACGAGCAAGTCTCATTTTTTTCTTTCGCACTACTCTAGCAACGAGAATAGTTTTGTTCGCTTGACAGATTTTCACACCAAATGATTCATTTTGCGGTTCACCGGACACCGGTTTTTCTGCATGACGGGTCAGTTCACTTACCTGTACAGCCGTGACTCCCTTCTCATTTGAAAACATGACCAATAGATGAAACAATGAAGAGTGGAGACGAGTCACAGCCTCTGCGGTTTGACCCTCCCTAGATATAGAGAAATACGTGTAATTCCATTAAGTAAATTTAGAACACTCCTCGAAACGAACTTAAAGAGGGTGCAGTAAAATACTTTGACTGATCATGACCAGGTTGCTAGTCAGAACAACATTGCTCTTCTTAAAAACTGAAGAGGAAATACTCCCTTCATTTCTGCCTTGTGAGTATTTTGATGTTACCAACATCTTGGGTTTTTGTTTTTGTTCATGCACTTTATGCAGTTGGTGAAGCATAGCATTTAAGAGGAAGAACTTTACAGGGTCTAATTTAATTCCCTCTATCTCAGCTCCTGAAAAACGCTCAAGAAGCGACCCGAAAACATACTACACTCCTGAAGTTGAAACATCATAGTGTCCGTTTTTGTCGGAAGACAACGAAAATCAGGCAACAGATGTAACAGGCTCTTTCTTCATATGCTCAATCTAACTAGAGAGCCCAAACAGTAGGGCGTAAACACGGAAAGATTTCTTATTCTTGATAAAAAAGAGTTTATGTTCGTTTTAGAGTCGTCAAAATTTTAGTACCTTAAAAGTAACAACTCCGTAAAACGCGGTCCATCGAAAAGAGTACCAGGGTAGCTACTTTCAGAACTTAAAAGATACATAACACATGCAACTTACGAGTACAGAGAAATTATGTGGTTCCAGTCCATCAGAGGAAATACGGCACCAAGGAACCTAAAACTGTTCTTGCACACACCATACAGCTAAGAAGAGAGAAAATTATTACAATGTTACACGCTCTTCAAATGTTTAAGAGCTTTGTTTACTCGAAGACCGACGAAAAGTTTAGAGTTACTTCAAGCGCTCTCACCAGTCGATAGGTGTATTTAAATGAGGGTATGAAAACACGATTTTGACATTTTAGATTTTGGGAAATATTTTAGAAATAAAATAGCAGATTTTCTCCTCGTTTGAATCGTAACCGCATCTAAGAGCTGGAGAGACTTGAGAAAAAACTCGAACGTTATGGAAACGTTTCCTAATTCTCCTCATCTCTTCCGACCCCCTCCCACCGCCTCTTTAGATAATACAGTGTGAACATAGTAAAGGTTTTCTGATGCTCTGATAACTTCGCCCTTCATATGTTTTTGCATCCTGCAAACATCTTTGAAATATCTCCTACTACGAAAGTAGTGCTTATGTGTAACAAGAAAGCATTCTGAGAACTACATTTTTGAGGGCAAAAAACGCGAATTTTCAGAGAAAAACAACAAACCTCCTGCATAAGTTGCATGTTATGTAATGTCGGAATGAAGCTCTGCCATGGGAGTTGAAAGAACTTAGAGCGATACACTCTGAGCACGTATTCGGGTATTCCCTCTTTGGTTAAAGATGATACGAAGAAACTCCAAAACATGTTCATCATAGATGATCCGCTGTGAGGAGCTGAAATGTAAAGAAAACAAAACCACTCGGTCAAGAAAGATGCTAAAAGGGCTAACTTCAATTGATTTCGTCCCAGTCTGACTAAGTTAAATAAAAAAACAACAACAAGGCAAAGAGAGAAGACAAGAAGAATAAAAGAAGGAACAAATCATAGCAGAATCAACAAAAAATACAGCAGACCGTACGCTGTAAAAACAGCAACGTCATGTTTGGCCTAACATATTATTATTATTATTTTTTTATCCGTTTTACTTTTCTCTATTCTGACCCACCCGTGTTCGCTCTTGGTTTCCTGTTGTCCGTTTTGCATTTTTCTTGAACAATTTGGAGTACCTTCCAAAGGCGTTAATCGTAATCCTCCAGGAAAAGGTGCTAATAAACGTTTTATTCTTAAACCTTCGTCCACTTTGTCCTATATACATTTAAATCAGCACAGTTTTGCCTATATCATACCATTTAAATGGGTCTGTAGGCAGTTCAGTGTATCGGTAAACAAGTTGATCATATCTGCTGCTTGAGGAACTTCACTCTCATTCCAAGGAGCTACTGGTACATTCCTGTAAAACGAGTAGATCAGGTTTAACTGGTCATTCTCAAACCAAAAACAACAAAAACCATAAAAAAGAAATACCAAACAAAAAAAAAACAAAAACCAAAAACCACATCAGAAGAAGCATTTACATATCAGCAGCAGCTCAAAGGTTTCCAGTGAGAATGGGAAAGTTAAATGATGTTCAAAACATACCCAGGAATAGGAGACTCTTGTGAGCAAATCCATGGCTCAAACACTCTGCAGATCAGCGCCCAGAGTTCTGTAAGAACTACAGAAATAAAATACAGCGATAGGGAATCACATAACTACTTGATCTGCGAGTGTGCATTATGTGGATCATGGGGATTTCGTGATTTTTTCTCCTGATTTTCTTTTCATCCTCGCTCCGCACAATTTATCAGAATTCCCCGAAAATTATTAGTGTCATACCTAATGTTCTTCATGTTTTCTCGAATAGCAGCACAGGCGCTTATTTAAAATTTTAGGCTTATGGTAAGGGCGCCTATTATTCTCCTGTACTGATTCCGTCGTAGTTGAAGCTTTAAAATTTAGGAAGCAACAAAAGAAACAGGTTTTCCTTGCATTCCAACTATTTAAGAAACTGAGGGAGGATGGAGCGCTTATTCGAGAGGGGCGTTTGTTCGATATTGTAGCCTGAGATGGGGGGTGGCTTACTCGGGGGTGGGTGCTTATCAGAGCGTCAGCCCTTATTCGAGGAAATACGGTATCAGCCATTTCTTATAACACAAGGCTTCATACCTTTCTCTAATCCTTGGCCCCGATTGGCATACACAACAGCCGCTCTTCTGACGACAATCTGCTGACACATGAAACCGAGGACAAGTGACAGCTGCTTGATGTATGGCCTCCACATGGTGTAGAGGCCACCAGTCACGTGACCTCCTAGTTCAGCCCGTTGACCGCTGAAGTACTTGGTGAGCCAATCAAGAGTTTCGAGCACCTAAAAGATCGAAGTGAAAGAGGATATTGTAAGAGTTAGAGAAAAGAGTCTTTTTAACTGTTGAAATTTGACACTTATTTGACTCTCCATATCTAAAGTTAGTTGGGAGCAACAAGTGTGTAATGACATCGTCTACTTGATGGTAAATTTTGATATTCCTCCTGCTTATTTGCTTGAACATCAATAACCAAGGAGATATTCAAAGCGATATTCGAACGAGATTTCGGGTTTGAACGCATAACCACAGAGATAACTCGTATTAAGAACCATGCTTACTACAAAAGCAAACGGATGTTCTCCAACAGGGAATGAAAATATTTTCAAATTATTTGCCAAACGGTTGTAATCAAGAAGCAAAACAGAACACAACTATTGCCGTTAACCGTCTAAAGCTCTTCATTAACTATGGAGAATTCACGTTTTCAACGAATCTCGGTTGTAAGCAGTGATTTGTAAAAAATCATTAAGTGTTTTGAGATGTAAAAATATATCGTAAAAGCTAGGGAAGAAAAGCAACACACGGATTCCGAAAGTCCACAAACCGAAGCTAAATTTTCTATATCAGATTACCAACAAGAATCCCCAAGGAATTTTACCTGTTCATCTCCCAGTACTTCCTTTGACGCGGTGGGAGGCTCCTTTTCATTGGTGGGAACACAGCCAATACAGGACAGAAACTTGTCCCATACATCGAGACAAAGAGTCCGCTTACCTGAACCTTAAAACGAGGTAGAAAACTGTCAGTTCCTATATGCATTCTGCTCCAAACTACAAGTGATAGGTTTAGACAAACGTATCAAGATCAGCAGTGAACACCAAATTCTTTAAATATAATTAAAGTACGAATATCCAATCAGATCTTGGGACTTATAGAGGTCCTAGAGGATAGCAATGCGGTGTTGAATTTTGAACATTCACTGAAAACTGAAGCTTTCATCAAAAAGATTGTTTCTAGAGCTGCTATGGAGCTACCACAGTGCTTATAAAATTTCCTGACTGAAAGCCATCAGCGAACGTTATGCCAAGATTTGCCTTCTCGCCGCTTATCACATGCGCTGCAGGCAGTTATCAGGTGTCTGTAAAGCAACGTGTAACCTTAATAAAATTTAAAGGTGGTCATGTTATCCAGTTCTTGTACACGAGCATACGCAATCACTGCACTTTCCTTACCTTCACACAGAAGCCTGAGACCATCACTGTATTGCTCCGGAAAATTGTACATCAGAACAATAGACAGATGGCGCAAATACACCTAGATAATTGTTTAACGAGTGAGTATAAGGTTTAGATAGATACCACTTATTTGGTACATTTTGACAAGAAAAACTACCTTATTAAGTGAGAAAGTCATTCTGTGTATCAAAGTTATCAAGTTCATCGGTCCCATCACTGTATCAGTCTGTAAGTCCGTCAGTTTGTCAGTTTTTCAGATCGGCTATCTTTCCATCCAACAATAAGTGGACCAGTTTCGCCATCTGTCTGTCTCTTACTCCATTAGCTTCTGTGTGTGTGTGTCTATTGTCTAAAAGTCGTGACATCTATCGTTCAGTTCATAAAAAAAACCAGTGACAAGGATCCTCACTGTACCCCATTACGTCTCTTTGTTAACGTTTGAGTGGAAGAAGAAACTCTCAGAAAGGGAGAAATACAGAAAAAAATATTAAACTCACCTCTAAAATAGATCTTTTGTTATCGGGAGGTTCATATCCAACACTGCTCAGTGCTTCAAACACTGCGTGTGTGAGGGCTGACCTCTCCATAAGATTGCTGTTTGGTGAGGACAGCCACTTACGCATCTCAAACTACAAGACAAAAAACACAAGCTACTGCAAGTGACAGTTAACAGTTGCTTTGCGCGACAAAATCTTACATAACTTTGGGAAAAAAATAGGAAAACCAAAACTTTAAAGAAAAGAGGGTTCCAGCCTAAAATTTTTTAAAGTACTAGGTCACTTGGTGCAAAGAGTGGAAAGAAAGCTGACGGCACTCCCGAAACTAGAATCCAGTTGAAATAATGAGTGTGTTGTACTGTTGGAAGTATAAATAAATGAGCTACTGACAAATCGGTTTATTTTACCTTAGTGAGTAACGAGAAAACAAGATCTCCATCAGCCGTTTCTAGGATTCTGCGGTACATGGTGGTAAAGGAATCAGGGTTATCATTAGGGCTAAAAAATGGAACTAACAGCACCGAGATGGAAGTGTGTTCCAAGATGGCTGACAGAAGCTGTTCTGTCTGAGTGGGATTGTTCATAATAAATTCCTGCGGAACAAGCAAAAAACAATAGAAAAAGGATTAAAGATATCGCAGGAAAAGGGGGAAAGGAAAAAGAACTGCTGCAAGTTTGCTACTTTACAAGATTCTGGGAGAAATTCTGAACACGAACAAGAAGGATAATTGTACAGTTCTAGCTTTGAAATTTTTAGTTCTTTACTAGAAACTCTCCTACTCTCTACAAAATATCAGAGAAGCTAGAGAATACAGCAAGCTGAGTGCTGTCGATCACTGACCTTTCCTAGTATCTCAACACAAGATGTAAAAAACTGCACAGTTGGTTGGTAGTTCATAACACTGTCGTCCATTGCTCCGGTAACATGATAAAACAAAGCAGTCCCAATGTCACTGATTATCTCTGAAACATGAAAACAAAAGTCAGCAAAGACAAAAGAGAATGTTAAGGAATGGAAGCAATATACCCTGTCGTAATCTCGGTTCTAGAGCGGGTTAGTTAAGCGCTTGCAAAGGAAAGCAAAAATTACCTTGTACGTTCCTCTCCGAAGAAGACTTTGCTTTGTTTACCAATGACCTTAAAGATAAATCATTTTCAATTTTTTACGTTAAAGTCACAGCGCTACTGTGTCTTAGCAAGATGCCACCATCCAAGAGATGCAAGCATGAAAAAATCGCATTACCGTCATATCTTCAAACCCACCTGAGGTTTTCTGGACTCAGGAGAGAGTGATTGCGATGTATGGCTTTAAAGTGAAAACGTGAGAAGGAAGGTGACTGAGTTTAACCCCACAAAAACTTTATCAGTATTCCGCGACTTTTTAGAAAACAAAAAGATATTAGAGCAATAGAGACCCCAATAAAGGATTACTAAAGGAACATGATGGAAAAATGCTCATAAACCTGTATATAAATACTCCTACTCACGTGATAATGCTCTCAATGTAAGCAGCACCTTCACACAAGCGGGCAGGGCATGGTTGGATGAAATTCTGCACAACTTGTTCCTGCTCACGACGATTATCAGCAACCTTTCTGATCATAACTTCATTGGGTCGTTTAGCGAGGAACTATTACAGTAATAACAAGCAAATATAGATAAAAAAGCTTGGCGTTGTGTTAAAGAAATGCGAAGAAGTTCGTACAATCGTTCGTACACTCGTTCGTACACTCGTTCGTACACTCGTTCGTACACTCGTTCGTACACTCGTTCGTACCCTCGTTCGTACCCTCGTTCGTACACTCGTTCGTACACTCGTTCGTCGTTCGTACCCTCGTTCGTACACTCGTTCGCTCGTTCGTACCCTCGTTCGTACACTCGTTCGTACACTCGTTCGTACACTCGTTCGTACACTCGTTCGTACACTCGTTCGTACACTCGTTCGTACACTCGTTCGTACACTCGTTCGTACACTCGTTCGTATAGTCTTCGATAGTTTGGCATAAAAGTCCGTTATTTTCAATCCGTGTTAATATTCGCTATCTTAGCCATTCCCGTTCCGTTCAGTTGTCTTTTAACCTCTTTGGTACTTATCTACGCAAGCAACCAATTTATCTCAAAGCAAACTACGGTAAAGTGCCCTGACACGGGGAAACATGAGTGATATGAGTTGTTTTAAGCTGCATTTGATAGGTCGAGAGTGTGGTGTGTGTTCACTGCCAATCACAGCGCGCAGTGATTCAAAACCGATGGAATCCCAAAGTACTTCGACACTTAATTGAAACCTTCTCTACTAAGATAAGGTAGTCAGTTACAGACATTTTAACGTTCCCTCTCCTGCTGGGAAGAAACAAAAGTGATCTGTTACCTTAACGGTGAGAGTGGCAGGCCCTCGACACTGATGTTTGCGACAAGGAACTTGAACTACAACCTGGAGACGGAAAGCGATAAAAGAATTCAGTATTGAAACAAAAATACGAATTTCCAACACCAGTTTTGTAAGGGGCTAATAGGACTTGTACTCTAATCAGTAGCTTTGGAAGCTAATAGGCTGCTGCCAATATTGATAGCAAATCCCTAGGTCTTGACGTCTAACTGAAGTTGTAATCCACTGTATTTATAAAATGAAAACAATGATGTTATCAACAATTCTAAGCTCAAGAATCAACCAGTAACAAGAAGGTAAATCATCACGCCTTACCTGGGACATCTCGTTTGAGTACATTTTAGGTATTAACTCGATATATTCAATGTCCAAGGAAACGTGTTGACCAACAAGTCCACAAAACTGTCTGTAAAATGTACAGAAGATAAGTGGTTTTGCAAGAAGTGATATCTCAATAACAGGATATGGTTTTGAAAGACAAAGTTCTTCGTTTGTCTAAAGGTGTAATGTAAACAGGGTTGTAATAGAAACTACACTCCCAGACGTAATTACTTGGGGTAGTTCTCCAGATCAAGGTCTATGATGTTCTTTCACCCCTCCCCCCCAGCCAATGTTGTTAATTGCAAATGTGTCTATAACATCTCGCAGACCAACATTGAGAGGAGCAGCGGAGGCAGTAAGTGTCCCGACAAATGTTTCTGGGAGTTTAGCTACATTATTTTGCAGTTCCTGAGTTTAACTGGTTTTTAGACCATAGTTTATGAGTTGCTTTTCCCGAGAAAAAAAAAAGCATCCTTTAGCGGTGTTTGTCGCAGTTTTTTGATATATTCCGCATTGGGCGTTTCTCAATAAACAATCATTCCATTCTCACTTGACAGATATGAGCTAGTTACAGCTAACTCAAATCCAATGCTCATTCGTGGAGTAATTGCTGAGAAGATATCTATAAATATTGTGGTAACCAAAATCCCAAGGTTCTTAAACAATTCCAAGGAGATGTTCTGCACTTTAGCATAAAAACGAAAAGTTTTCCGATAAAAATAGCGATATTTGCAACCAAACCTTGCATGTGCGACTATTCCCTGTAGTTGACTGTAAACTATGCCCAATAACTTCTGTTTGTTCATCAAAGTCGCATCTGTCATGGAGGGTAAAATGGGTTCTAATCTCTTCACAGGGGGAGGAGGGAGCGGTGCAGGGTGCGTCTTCATCCTTCTAACAATCCTCGAGGCGGCTTGAAAGTAGGAAAGAAAATACACCAACTTGATTAAATCTTACCGTGCATTTAATGCAACCGGAACGACACACAGCCAATTCCAGCTAACATTCGAATATACACAGATACAATTCGTGTCGTTTTTATTTCCATGTCAAATTATCTCAGTGTTGGCGGTGTTGATCTAGTCCGTTTGAAGACCACCTGTTTCTTTTAATAACTGTCCACAGGGCGAGCGGAAATAAAAGCCGGAAAGGGTTTGTCGAACGCGAACTAGAAAAAAAGATTGTGTACAAATTAAGCGGGTGCTAGGTGCTAAAAGGTGCTTGCACATTTGGTACCTGTTTCAGGACTCCTGTCGTTCCACTGACCAGTGGCTTTACTCTCAGGGGGGTTCTTTTGAGGTCCCAGGGCGTGTTTTACCCAACAACGCACAGACTCGGTGATTTCCATATCAATCTTTTTCACGAATATCAAATCAAACCAAGGTTCCTAACAAAACAGGAAAAATAAAACGAATCATTAAAAATAATTGTAATATTCAATGCGATGTTCAATTAAGGTAGATCTGCTTAAAAGTGTGCTACAATTGGAAGGAGAACTTTCGTAATGGTGAATGCTGAGAGTGAAAGGGTTAAGATAATAGTTTACATACCTGTACTGGTTTGAGTAAAGCCTCAAGTCTGACTGCATCATAAGGAGGCGGCAATGACGGTAGGTACAGACTGGGGTCGTGAAGTCTCGGTTCATCCAACCACAACGCCAGTGTTTGATAAAACCTACCATGAGAATATTAACGGTGTGAGAGGCTGATGAGAAATCTTTAATTTTTTATTTAAATTAAGCATGTTTCTTTATTATGAGGCATAAAACTTCATATTCTTGTCCGTTATCTTAAAAATAAATGGTTGAACTGTCAATTGTTGTCTCAGGAGATCAACTTGTATCAACAGGCGATCTATGATAAAGATCTGCGGTATGGTTATTCGTCAAAAAATGAGCCAAATAACTAAATAACTGAATTTAACATTCTGGAAATTCGATAAACACAAATTCAAAATAACAATAATAGTGGAAAAATTTTAACAATCTAGTCTCGTTGGACGTTGGGACAAAATCTTTGGTTTCGTATCTCTCTGAGCGAACAGTTTCATTCCAATTTCCCCCAAATTCCCATAAAGTTTGCGTTATGCTTAGCCCCATTCCCCTCTCTTCCATTCCAATTTTTTTTTCTTTCAGCTGAGAAACGAATCAAAACTCGTACATGAGAGTTATTTTATCGTGAACCTCCTTGAACCTACAAAATTGGATGAGACACTAGTGACAAGAGATACTCGGGGTAAAATCACAGTGCTGCGTTACATTCGGCTTCCAGAAATGAAACCCAAGCTCAAATAAAGGTAAGAACGAGTTATTTACGCTTCACACATCCCGACTTCACTATACATGTAATTACAACGAAAGCTTTATTGAAAAAACAATTTCTTCGACACCATACCCTGTAAGTTTTTCATGCAATGCTCTAGTTTGTTCAAACTGCTTGCTTATTTCCCTGTCACCATCAGTGACTGCATCATGGTCTGCCCCGGTCTCCACGGATCGATTCCGGTGATGTTCCGCTGTGGCTTGCAGTCTCTGCTTCATTTTTTTTAACATGGAGCTATAACTCTGGCTATCAAAGAAACGATACCCTACACCAGATCGCTGCGCAAGGCTGGAATAAACGAAACACATGTCAGATTTCATCCTTGATCAGAATAGAAACAATTAATAGCGCCTCACTCTTTCTCTTTAAGTTTGCCAAGATGTAAAAAATGAGTAAAGGACACTAACAGCGATTATTCTCAGTACTAGTTTGTTCATTTGCCTTTTTTTCTTTTCGCTCCTAGCCAACTGATCTACCTCAGAAGATGCACTACTTATATCCTAAGCCCGCAAAAAAATATGGGGATTGTTTGGGACTTCATTATTTAGAATTCATTCTTTGATCCTTGTCAATGCACAGCATACACAGGTTACATAAACGTCTCTAAAACGTTATAGCAACAAAACTATCGCATCACATGATTGATAAATTTTATTGTTGTATATTTGGACCATCGCTTTGACTGTGGAAAACCAGAACCAAGTCAACCATAAGGTAATCAGGGTCAAGGGAAATGTTTCAGGAGCCAAGAGACAATAAAAACTCATTGCAGATATATGAACACGAGGAAAACATGAGTATCAGAGTCGTGAGTAGGTTTTATTGGTGCATTTGATTCATTAAGAAGCTGACGCAAGTTCTTTAAGCCAATCCGAGGCCACCGAGTGACGCAAGAACGATGCAACCCCGGCTTAATTTCGAAATTACGATAAGTTCCTTTCCCTTCCCAACTTCTGTTCATACCAAACCCTTAGGCACTCACCCAGGTTCAGTGACCGGTCTCTGGAGATAAAGACTAAAAAATCGTTGCCAAATCAAAGGCAGCATGGGATGATCAACCTCTGTCACCATTGCTTGATTAGCCCAACGATAGATGGAAAGACTGGACACGAGAGGCGTCCACGACAATTTCATCTTCTTCACTACTTTCTGAAATGGATATAAAAAAAAAAGTAGTAGAAGCCATAAAAAAATTATGAAGTTATGCTACTTGTTTGATTTACTTGTTTGCTCCTCATTGAGAGATGGTTACAGTGTGAAATAGGAATATCACTAAGCACAGAACATTTCAAACAAAATTCTTCAATGCTTCATGAAAAAGATTTTCCAGATACACCCAATTAAGTTCTTCTTCATAACAACCATTTGCCTCGCTCTGGTGGGTGAGTTTCGCGCGCTCAGGTGAGCGCCGTTATCTGAGTTCGAATCATGGACCTGTTGTAAAATGTGTGCTGTTGATTCCGTATCCTTGCTGCGAGGTTCTTTCCCCGATTTTACCTCATTTTTTGTACACAACAAAACCCATCAATTCAAACTTCAGTGCGACTTGGAATCAATGGAAACAGAGCCACCCAGAAGTTGTGCCACTGATAAAATCAAAACTATTAACTCACGAGATTTCTTTCTAGAACCTTCCTTAAGGAGAGTAAGTAGGTAAACTTATACAACTTCATTAGCATCACCTTCAACACTGCATCAACTGTCGCATCTGGTTTGTTCAGCAGCCTTTTATTTATTTCGACAGACAGTCCACAGTTCTCTTCCATCTGAGTTTCCATGCACAGTACACAATAAGCATAGTAACTGTAATCTGGAGAGGCCTTTAAACAGGAAAAATAAAAATTAAATTTCGAGATTCACTAACACGTAACACATGCATGTTTAATCATACCCCTAAATCTCCAGTTACCTACATCTAAAAAGAACTTAAAACTACTATGCTACACTACGCTGTCAAGTTTATTCCACCTTAATTTCCCACAGCACAGGAGGAGCAGTACTACTTGAAGTCACCCATGAGAAAAGAGACGCTATCACTCCTTGACTTCCGGTTTCTCTGAGCAGCACCTTAAAAAAATGTGAAAAAAAAAACATGTAGATCATGTTCTCCAGTTATTCGGTTCTAGGCAACATGCTCGGAATCATTATTCATCACTTGGATGGTTTATTTGGATCCAATATAATGACCAGCTCCCAGTTGGCTTGTTAGCTCAGTTGGTAGAGCGCTGCACCCGTATCACAGAGGTCATGGGTTCAAATCCCATACGGACTGAAAATTTCTCTTCAGGTCTTATTTCAATTACTAGTTCAGTAGTGTTCATAGCTGCGAGGATCTCTTATGTAAGAGATAAATACCGAGAACGGAGGTATTAATCTGACTTATTTCATGAAATTATTCATGACGGATCTTTACATAGCGATCCTTTGTTCAAGGGGACAAACGCCGGCTAATTAGTACCGTCACACTTAGGTGAGAAACGGAGAACAATAGAAGCAACCTGATGTGTGCGTTTCTCGCAGTACTGCGAAAAGTTGTTGCTCATTCCTCCGTGAAGTAGAAGAATTTGATTTTCTCAGGAAGAGCAAGGTTCATTTGAATAATTGGAAAGAAAAAAAAAATTATGAGGGATTTATTTGTATAAATCCCTGAAACGAGGGATTTATACAGATAAATCCCTCATTTACAATGCAATTCAATTCATTAGCCCCGCTCTTCCCTGCTACATTATCAAGCCCTCCCCGGACTTTCAGTTAGTTTAATATTCATGAAGTATGTAATATAATAAAGGATGTTGAATAACAAAAGAAAATGTGTGATTCATGAAATAAACTCGTTTCTTCACCGCAGTGCACATATATGATCTTCATATATCTACAATCATTATGCTAAGAATTACTTACATACAGAGCAATTTTTCAATCTGGTATCGTAGACCTTAGACAAGAAGTTATGCATCTGATTGACTAAGAGAGAGGCGTATTTTTTTTAACCAATCGAAGAACTCCGTGAACGAAAACCAAAGCAATTTCGGATTGCTATTCACACTCGGTGGAAAATTATGGAAACAAACGAGTCGTAAAATTTATCATTCGTACTTGGTGAATAACTTATTAGAGAATCTTCTCAACAACTACTGGAGCATTATTAGTAGATAATTTATGACAAAAACACTCTTGTATCAAAACGTGCGACAATAACTCTACAGCAAATCGAACAATAATTTTAGTCTGACAAGCAACTATTCACCTGACTCAAAAGTTGATCCACACCCAGCATGCCAAAACATTAGTTACGTAATGCAGCACTTGCGTTTTTCCAAAACCATCTTCACCCGACAATTTAACTATATACAGGTGACTATTTCGAATTTGGTAAACTATCTTCTAACCAACAAATCTGGTGCAACACCACACAAACAGTTTCGATTCTACACACACCTTGTAAGCATCCATAAGGTGGGTTTGTATCACGGAAAGGCTGCCTTCAATTCTCAAAGCTATTTTGATCAGGTTATCAATAAGAAACTGTACACTAACATCTCTGAAAAAAAATCAGCATGTGATTCGTACACATTCAAGTAACCTATAACACAATCACAACTTCATTTTCAAAACTCATTCATAATCTTGAGCTTTCCAAAAAGTAGACAATTCAAGAGCTTCTTGCCCTTCCACCTCCCCCCCCTCCGCCACCCGTTGATTCATACAAATATTTAAGCGTTAACGGGGTTTATGATTCTATCTTAATGCTATTTGCTATTTAACAATCAGATTATGAGCTCAAGATTGCTTTTGCGTGCTAGACGATTAGGGGGAAGCCTGAATCAAGTATCACGCAAAGAAATCGAGAGCACATGATCTTATCGTTTTCGTATAAATTTACCCGCAAGACAGGCTCATATTTGTATCGAATAAAGATACAAATAAGTCACGTTACGTGCGAAAAACTACCCCACAAATATAGATAGTGAATAGCGCAGCCAATAAGATTGCAGCATTTTTGATAGAACGCTTGTACATTTATACAAATTTTAAATAACTATCATTTTAGCCGTTTCTACTTTTCAAAACCAGTGTTTGCATGCTGTAGCTACACTGTTCCTGCTACTACATTGATTACCATCACTGACCTGTACCAGTATGGCAGCGTGCACAACGTAAGTAACCAGAATTCCACCACACTTATTGAGCCAACCATACCAGGAGCTTGAAACTTCTGAACATGGCCCTGTACAGAGAAGGAAAGGTTACAAACATTTGTTTCTCCATTAAGTGCTAGAATTCCAAATCACAGTGCATTTCAACTAAGTGGCGTGAAGCCAAAAAGAGAGCATTGGCAATAAAGTGTCACCACGAGCCGATAAGGGAAAAGCTGTGGACTGCCAGAAGCGCGAGAGAAACACGACTGACCAAGCATGATTGGTTTTCGTCTTGTATCTGATTGGTTGATTTTAATAGTGACTGGCTGACGATCTTGCACTATACCATTCCATGTCAAAAAAATCATCATTACGGGATTTATCATTCTGTACCGCTCATTACGTCAGCTTTTAAAATTTGCTACGGTGGTTTATCCACCTTGAACGACTTCTAAATCGATATTCCATTTTTACCTGAATAATTCCCACCAGCCTCTTACAGTACGGGCCCACAGTGGACGCTTGAAGCAGTTTTTCAGCATAACCTGCGTTGTCATTGTCAAGTTGGCTCAAACGATGGATTGCTGTCACAAACCTGTGAATGTTAATCACTCAAATTGATATTGACAACAATACATGATTCTAACCCTTTACACCCTAACATCAGTATCTATATTCTCCACACTCTTCGCTATACACTCCCCTTAGTACTGACTAGGAGAGTTTGTTTAACAATCAAAGCCTCTTAGGTTGGCGATCATTTCCTTTATCCTCGTGATCTTATTGAATGATTAAACAATATTTCTGTAAGGGAAAAAATAAAGGCTGGTCACTCTTAGGGTTTAAAGGGTTTTGACCTCGATGGCTTTCATTCAAGTCATCGAAACGTCAATTGCTAATGATCAAAATTAGAAATTTCACTTAAAAAAAAGAATGATAAATAGTCAAACCACAGAATAGCTCTCAATACCTTGCTTCCTGTGTAAGTTTCTCATGGCAACCAAAAAACATGGGTGTCACATTCGCAATAATCCTCAGCGCTGCATCAAAACACCTCTCATTTAATATGACGGTTAAGTAATCCAGACCCTCACCCAAAAAGAGATCACGACTGTAAAATAAAGAAGAAAAAAATTGAGTAAAACGTTTGGCGACAATTTGAGAAGCTTGTGCTATACAGCCGGCTCCTTTAAAAGAGGAGAGGAAGCGACGAAAAGTGGAAGCAGCGTGGATCACTGGCTTGGGGTGCTCAATTTCAGACTAGGAGGTGAGAGGTTCTGATCCCTCACTCTGTCCTTCATCAGGATATATCTGAGGAAATAAACTCCCCTGCTATGGTTTGTTAATAGCCGACTACATTATCTGACACCTGAGTTGGAAATTTTGACAAAGCAATTTGCCTTCTATTCAATCTATATTTTTAGTACAGGAGTTTCAAATACGTCGCCGAGTAAACGTTACTTCATTCTTGTACTTACCTGGTACCAATAGTAGTCATTGCTACCGCAGCATAACTAGCAAGTTGTCCACTGGCCTTAATAGCATGAGTCATACTTGAAAGGGAACTCTCATTAGGAAGCACAAGTGTTTCTTTTGACAACGACTTCACGAGGCTCGCAAAACCTGGTCCTCCTTCTTCACTTGCTGTTAACACAAATAGAGAGGGCTTTCAGGACATCTAAAAGCTTGAAATTAAACATGCATACGGTCTCAAGAGAGTTAAGGATTTTCCTAGTCATAATCCTATGCAAGTTACATAGCTACGTGGGTACCTCGGAGAAAAGATGATGTAGATTGATGTTTAACACGTTGGGCCCGAAATCAGATAGGGTCTCAAACACTCTTTCTACGCAGGGTGTGAAATCGATTATACTAGCAAATACAACTTTATATCTCGGATTCAGGGAAGGAAAAATTTCATTTTTTGTCTTAACGAGGAGTGGATTAAACACAACATGCTTCACAGAACCAATTAAGTATTCCACGAGTGCCCCCCATTCCTTCTAACGATCGTCAGAGGAATAAAGTTCACAGATAACACTGTTCTTTCAAGTTATTCTCGAGACGAAATTTATTCTCCATTATAAATTGCTAAGTCACCTTCTAACTCATCTTCATTTGGAAGTCGCTGAGTGAACTGAATGACTGGTGTTGGTAGATCAGCTGGGTGAAGCCTTAGAGAGAGCGTGACTTCCCACAGCCAGTCATACAGCTGCTGCTCATAATTTGGCTGCATCAGTCGATTGTACGACGTTGTAGCAATCAGTGTCACCTAACAAAAGAAATAACTATCGCATCATACCATTCCACCAGGGGTATACAAAACAAATTGAGATGAATTCGGGTGACATCCAAAACACCAATCAGCAAATAAAAGGCTGCCTTTTTCAGTAATGTGCGCGAATAATATTATGTACAGCCACAATACGCCTAAACGGTGTAGAATGTCACAAAGAAAAGTTCAAGACGTATGAGTAAACTGCTCAACAGACTAATCAAATTCAAACTTCACGCTGCCACAAAAAGACAGCGCACAGCGCTCAAGATATGTCTCATACAACTTTCTTGGTATCATAGCTCATTGGTGACTGGCAGTATGCAGTCAGAACATTACGATCCACAATGGGAATACTACATTGCGAGATAAATGACACCTTACATATCAAAATCTTTGGCTTTAAAAACCTGTTTAAGAAGTCCAGTGTCTTCTTTAAATGCCTCATGTGATATTCCTCCTGGCATTTTGGGTAAACGAAGCGCTGACACCTCCACTAATGACACTGCCACAGCCCTGTGCCAGCACTGGTGCAAAAACAGTTTATCACCCTCTCCTGACTAGCAAAAGAAAGACGTAAACAATAGAGCAATTCTTCAATTGAGTGTCGAAAGTAATCTGGGATTTCACCGGTTTTGCTTTACTTCGCTCTGTGATTGGTCCAGAAAACTGCCACCAGTCTTTCAACCAATCAGATGCAAAAAAAAAGCAACCATGACTTGGACGCCCGCGTTTTCCCGCGCTTAATGCAATTTGGTTGGTTTAACTTTGAGTTCTGATTGGCTCTTAAAGATATTTTTCTTTCTTCTTGTCGGCCGTTGTGATTGCTTTGCTTTTGCTTTGACTTTTGGTTCATTTATAATCATGTTAACTTTTATGATTGCTGTAAAAGTAGCTGGTTTGTTTTCTTTTGATTCCTTCTTCATAACTATTACCTGCAATCAACAATTATCATGCGAAGTGGAGGTAAATATCCGCCACTTTCGCAAACACTAGGGTGAATAATTATTTTAGTAAGTACCACGCAGGAACCAAAATATTAAATTACTTCTGTCAATAAACGAGAAAATAGTGCGAAGTTGAACATTTGACTTTCAATTTTGGCTCTTTCACTGCTTGGAAACGAAGGTACAGACTAATCAACTTCGAACTGGCGAATTAAAGGGCACGAAAAACGAATAAAGCCGTTATCTACTCTATGTTCAATGGAACTTCACAATAGTTGCCGCAAAACGACTTACAGTGGAGTGAATTAAGGTTAACTTTTACTCATAGACAGTATCATGCAGTACAAAACAAGACTCTGTTTCTACAAACCTCTCCCATTTGTCCCCAGTTTAAGTTTGAAATAATATAACGCGCAAGCTGATTTTCTGGAGAGGACAAATCAGCTTTCAACAACCAGGATTTAATGCAGTCCATGTTCCTGTATGTTGGATGCCACAGATGAACTGATAAACCACTGAACAGGTAGACACAAGCCTGAGAAAAATAAAAGTGATGACGCCATTTTGGTGTGCATTTGCTCGCCAATAGACAACATATGATATAACTATAGTAAGAACCGAAAAAGGCATGTGAGAGAGAAGTAAGTGTCACAACTGTTCCTGAGTTCTGAGCGGCTACCAGTACCCTTCATCACGAGCGTTTCTCCGCCCGCGTGAACGTTTGGGGCCTTGGGAAGCACTAACCAGCGAGACGTCTGCAAGTGGTCTGGCACTATTATTGGTCCCAGATCCCTCGACGACCTCTCGCTGGCTCGTTTTGCTCAAGCTTTTTAAAAACTTACCCGCGACAAAGAAAAGCTTGTGCCGCACCGCTAATAACGAGGGCCTGGTTGGAAGCTTTGATTCATCATTCTATGTCCCTTTTCTTAAAAAATATTACGAAGGAAACACTTGTTCCTCCCGAGTGAAATTTGTGTGAACTATTTATTACCCATTAGACTACAAATTGAATTGTGTCATGTTTTCTTTTCTTTAATACGAGTAACCACCTTCTTTCCACACAAAATTCAATCATTTCACACAAAATTTCCATTATTACTACACAACGTAATGCTGCCATTCAAATTTTTTTAAAATCAAGTGAGAATATTTAGCCGTATGACGTGTAGGAATCTCACGCAGTGCATATGGGTCTATTTGGTTAAAGATCACTTCCAAAGCTTACTTCTCTGGTACTAGTCGCATCATTCTGAAACTGTGAGACACAATACTTGGTCAGTGTTTACCTTCCCAATAATATCCAGTGTGGCGCTGACATTCTCAAGCAAAACCGATATCACAAAGGGATGGACACTAGAAATGGTTCCCAGAAGATGTCTTCCAGTCTTAGAAGATGACTCCCTGGTTTGACTGGCTATGAAGGAAACCTTTAATAAGAAAAAGACATCAGTCAAGGGCAGTTTCTTTACAGAATCCTTTGCTACTGTCCTACATTGCACATTTCCTAATAACTTTGTGATAAGACTGTGTAATATCAAATAGAAGAAAAAACTCTCAACTCAGAGTAATCGGTGAGGTAGCCAGGATTTTTTAAAGGAGGGGAGGGGGAGGGAGGTTACACTGTGTCACAACCAGACTACTTGGTACCCAACTGTAAAAATACACCCTATGTTTCACTTAGGGAGACATTATCTTAAGTGAGCAGTGAGTAATCCGTGGTGTGTAGATTCTTCTAATTTGCACATTCTGACCACCGTTACATGGTTTCTATGTCTCTCAAAGGTCATGAGGGGGGGGGGGGGGGAAGGGGTGATCCCCAAGGCATCTAAGGACTCTTGGATCCCCACCCCCTCCCCCAAAAGATTCATGCATACTTACTGGTACTTGTTTACCAAGTAAAGAAAAAGTAAATTTGATAACTTATATGCAAAATTATGGTTTTTACCAGTGAGAGTCCTCAAATTTGGGGCCTCTAAGTAAATTCTATACCTTGTAAACCTCTGTGCTAATGGCTTCTATTAGCTCCCTTTCCTTGCGATCTCTGGATGTGGCAATGTTAGTAAATGTAGTAAGCAAAAATATGGCTTCTGACTGTGACATTCTGGCCAGTTGGTCTGTAAATTCCCCCTGTCTACCTAAATTTAGTAACAAGATCAAAATCTCATAAATTTTCCATTCAATATTTAACTATCATGCACATTTTTAGTTTTATTTTCCATTAATACTCACTCTCCAGTACATCTCTCCAATCTTCCCTCATGGAATCTTCTTGGTTAATGCTCTCCACAGAATCAAGTTTGGTGACATCTACATGGAGTGCCCAAAACAGCTTCCAGAGAGTTTGGGAGGAAACACTGCGAAAGGGCATATCTGCCAAAAACTGCCAAGCACCCAGCCTATGACGCAAATTACATTGCATTTAGCATATTCAGTAATGTACAAGAAAAATAATAATCATGGTAGACATATATTTATTGTATGGCCCCAAGGTTAGCTGAATATCCTCTCTTGAGCCTACAGTACATCTTTTGGAACTATAGTTAATAACATTCATTTTTAAAAAAATGCAAGCTGCCATACACCGTACAAGGTAATGAAATTTTCTTAGATGCCATCCGAAACACAAGAGTTGGGAAAAAGTCTGGAATCAAAATTTGATCCTCAGTCACTGATTTGGAGAATGGAAGCTTGAGTTTAGCTTTTCAATTTCCAATTTTAAAGAATTAACAGATTAATCAAAATTGTGGTTTTAATCATCAAACTACAACAATGCTGCTACTATGAGAGATAAAGGAATGAGTTAAAGTTTAAAATTCTTTAACCAAAGCAAACAGAAATGTTGCAATTACTCTAACCTGTTATAGATGTTAAACTATTGTGATTAAGGGTACAAAATTGAACACAATTTTAATCTTGCTATTTGCACTTACTGGCATATACCCTGTAACACTGTACTCCTACCATATCATTTCAAAACAATCTGGATGTCTGCTGAGTATTTTGGATAAATGTACATACCTGTGTGCAGAAATGATCTGTTGTGCAGCACGGAGAAAGAACTGATCAACCTCTACTTGAAGTCTTTGTAATGAGTATTGATTACCAGAATGGAAAGAATCTGGAATGGCATTCTCAGATTCTCCACATACATTCACTCTCCAACTTCGAAAATCTGACCAGTGGTCCAGAACATACTGTACAACCTGCCTGAAATATTTTTTTCTAGATAAGTATTCTACCTGCATCTGAGAATTGGTTAAAATTTAACATCCTTGAAACTCAAATTTAACACTGATGAAGAGAAACAGACATAGGATAATCCTTTACTCTGCAAGATGAAAAGCATTATTTCATGAAAATGTTTATTGTCTATAAGTAAACCTGTAACATTTTGTTCCAAGTTTCCAAATACCTTATAGTTCGTCCCACTCTTTTGACAAATGCTCTATAGCGCACTTTCTCATAAGTTCGGAATGCCCTTCCCATCACGCATACAACACAAGATGCAAAAGCCAACATTCTCATTATATCGCGGCTTGATGTGTGCTCCACATGGTAGTGTGACTCAATTAGACAATCATCTAAAAAATGATTGAAGATTAATATTACACCTAAATCAAGATAAAAACAATGCAACAAATTTCATCTTCTTTGTTATCTGATCATTTGCCATATGTATGCACTTGAAAAATGTCAATAATAGTTGCCAATAAATTACTTTGTTTTCATTATCATAGTCACTATTAAGTGTATCTGTCTAAGCATAATTTAGGCCAGATCTTCTCACTAGACAGTTATGGTTCTACAGTTCTGCCATTTTATGGGGGTCAAGTTTAGTATATGATGTTGCTTATCAAAAATATTCGAGACCTTTAAGGAAGAACATTGGCAGACACTTTCAAATTTTGGTGTTTTTCAGGGAGAAATTCTTGCAGATACATTTACCATAATTGTTCAGGGTTTTTTATTACTTTTCATAATAAACTAAATGAGGACTTACTAGGAATGTTTGGGTCCATTTTGAGTAAGTGCTTGAAAATGGCATCAAATGGAAACTGTGAGAACAGTGCTATGAGATCATTCTCTTGAATCAGCACCCAGCTTGTTTCTGGATCTTCATCCTAAAGGAAAACAAAAGTGCACAGTAAACCATTATTCAAAAAATGGATGCAAAAATTAAGTCTTCATATGAGTAAGTCTACAAACAAGCCTAGTGGCCTGCAATGGTGGAGCATCTCCTGGTTGTTGTACCAGGAAGCATACAGTAGTTTGATGACAACATTATTAATAAATAAATATTACAGAATGCTATTGCATGAACCATACAGCCCTGCATGCATAGTTCTTTAAAAACAGTAGACAAAAGTCCAAGTATGAGGACCATATGCAATGGTGTGAGCAAGGTTAGAAAAAGCTGTATAATGCTTAAGATGTGAGCTGAAAGAAAAAAAGACAGAAAGAAATGCAGCAGCCATTGTGATAAAATACTCATTGACTGCGAAAACATAGGCTCAGGGAAGGACACAAGAATACTTGGCTCTTAGTCTTCTCTTAAATTGGTCTACATTTCATAATGTCAGGCTGAATATTTTCACAATTGTCCTCCCTGCCCAGTATATGAGTACATGTACTTACAAGTATAAGATTTACATGTACAGTATCGGTCAAAAGTACATGTAAGTTAACAGTCTCAAATCAATTCTCAATCCTCAAAACTTTCAAGAATCAAGGATTCAAGGATCAAGAATCAAGGTTTGAGAATCTAGGACTGAGAAGCTCAAAAAACTTTTTGAAGATCTCCAGTTGTATCTTCAAGGAAAGTACAATTTTATTTACATTTTATCCTCATTGTCTTTTGAATCATTTATTAGTAATAGCAAAAAATACAAAAGGAAAGATACATTTTCTGGACTAACCTACTGGACACAATTTGGACACAAAGTCTACAACAGATACATTTAACCAGAGGTCAACCCACTGCATGAAATTAAATAGAGCTAACCTCCAAGGACTCTCCATCATCATCCACAATAGTCCAACTGATTGATCCCATGGCAGCTGAGGAATACAAATTCAATGTGAGGTGAATGTCTTTGAATGGATAAATCCTTTGCAATGCAGCATCAATAACTGAGCTTATTTTTTAGCAACAGGTGACAAATAGAAATTATTTTCATTTATTATATCTTTAAAATCAACAAAACAATATTAGATATCATAATGATTATCTCTGGTATCGCCTTTCAAGGGGTGATTTGCAACTTTCAACCCAGCAGACTGCCTACATTGCAGTCTGTAATCACCCAGGAGAAATTATAGTAATTGTTAAGTACATTATCCATTATCCTTAGTATCATGATCTCAATAGAATTGCAGAGACACTTACTTCAAACCTCGCATGTACCCCTAAGTCATATGAGGAAGTTTCAATTTAAAAGGCTCCAAGTCACGGCTTTCATACAGTGAGTATATTGTTCAATTATGACAACTGGACTTGAATGAGCAATAGCCGTACCTTCTTTTCCAAGAGCAAGTTTTTGCAAATATCTGTCTCTTTCCCTGAAAAAACAACATGACATGAAATTACATTCACCCATAACATAAAACAAATGTTTTGCAGTGTACTGAAGTAAGCATTTATTAATAACCTTTATGTTTACTAAAAAAGTTAAAATGAATGAAAACAATTCACAAATTGCTGACTCCAAGTAAATTGTCAGGTCAATACTAATGAAAAAAAATCTCAACACTGTGATTTTAATATGCAAGCCAATCTTGGAACAACTTGGCTAAGTGTGTTATGGTGCTTGATTCGAAAAGTGCAAGTTTCAGGCTCAGCTCTTTTGTTGCACTAGAACAATATTCCAGTGGTTAGCTTCCAACATGAGGGATTTGTCTTTAATTAAAATGTTTTTCATGCTAAAATGTGTCCATAAATAGCACATGTGATCTGAATACATCCATGCTTTATGTTCATGCTCTATTACATAAGCATACATGAGAAGGAGACACATTAAAAACAAAAGATGAGTACTTAAAATTGGGTAAGAGCATTTGAGAAATGCAAAGAAGAAATCAAGTTTAGGCAAAAGGGCTGAGACAGCACACTTAAAAAATTAGTGTGCTCCTTCAGCATTAGGTTACCTGACAGGCAGAAGCAGAGAAGATAACATAGCCACAAAATGATGAACTAAAGGATTGTCCCAGTAATATGGTTCATCTACCACGTTATATCCATGGCTTTTGAATTGCGGTACAGGAAACTGGATGAATTGGGCAATTTTACTAGTGAATCCTGGAGGACACCTCAGCAAGTGATTTAACAAGAATACAAGATCTGCCAGGCAAGCTACACGCAGAAGAACAGCAACCTGTTGAAAGGACCATATATCACTGCTTTTCTTGAAAATGTTTTATAGAAATGAAGAAAAAAAAATACATTGTTTGTGTTTGGACATGGTGATAATTATGTCTCGGCCAATTCATAACCAATACATTGCCCACCATGACACCATGTTGTTATAACAGTCACCTACACATTACCTATCATGAATGATGTAACCCATTTTCTGGACTAGTTTGATCACCATTCCACATTTTTGGGCCATATTAATTTTTACAATGCATAATGATTTTAAAAGAGGTGTAACAGAACCTCATCCACAACTATCCCTTTGCTTGGGATGGGACAAGCCTTAATAAGCCTTCACACAAAAAAGCTAATTTCACAAAGCCAGCTGCAAACACTGACAACACTGCACCCTAACTGTGCCTCATTAAAATAAATGAACCACACCATACCAGCTGTTCCATCCAGCCATTCAAAATTGTGACAAACTCTTCATCTTGAATTGGCTGTCGAACAAACATGAACAATACACTGATGCAGTCTCTCAACCTCTGGACCTCAGCCTGAATATCTGGACTCTGTTCAACAGGGCACAATTCTAAATTGAAAAAGGAAACTGTGTTAGCTTGCTGGCCTGATTTACTTGGAATCCTTTAGTTATATGATTGTACAAGTAAATCAGGCCTTGTATACAGACTGTGTGGTTCAAATTCAGTATTGGTTTGAAGCTGTATCCTTCTCAAGAATGTGTCTAAGTTTGTGCCTTAGTATGAGTTTAAAACAAAGGAAAAAACCTTGAATCAAAGAGAAAAAAATTAGGCCACATCATGTGCCTTAACTTCAGGTGAAAATTTTGCAAAAAAAATGCAAGCATATACATGAAATATTGGGCCTCACAAAGTTCAAGATCAGTTGTCTACAGCTTAGATGAGACTGTTGTGAAACAAATTAATAATAATTATAATTATTAAATAATAATTCTAATCATTATAATGGTAGAACTTGCAAACATGGTTAAGGGCAGATGTCTGCCAAGGTGATGAGGTTCCTTTTTACCAGTCACTAGTGTCTCAGATGAAACATTCCTTGAAATGGGTGATTGAGACAGCATGTCAAAGATGTACATATCAATGTGAAGCCGAGCAAGCTGACACGTGTATCTTTGCAAAGCAAGAGTCTGAAAAGACAAAAGTATATTAGATAAAGTAGCAGCAGAGCAAAAAATGAGGGAAGTGTTTGGGTCTGGTTTTCATTACACAACCTGACCCAAATCTCCCTCACTTTTCATTCCTATGTAACTGTCTCTATCAATATTAATTACCGTGTTTTGGTCAACTCACTAAATGTCTGGAACAGTCTGTTGAACCATACAAAGCTTTTACAATCTTTGCGCTCTTTGTTTGCTTCCATTTTTCCAATTAAATGGTGGCTTACAAATTTTTCTGATATTTTGTGGTCACTTGGAGCCAGAAAAAAAAATATTAGGTATGTGTGTGATAGGTACATGCCATAATCAGGTTCTAATATAGGGTTAAGCAGCCTCTGGCTAATAAACCTTTGGTTGATGTTCTAAATCCTGAGGGAGCACTCCTTTTTATTTAAGATAGAGATGGTACACTTTGGACCTTATAGTAAAAATGGGATACACTCAGCCCAATTTGTTCAGTAATACCATATTATAATAAACTTTCAGGAAAACAGTCACCTGAGTTCCAAGTGCATTTATAACTATGTTACCTCATGTAAAGCTTTGTGAAGTTTTCCAAGCATGCTCTCAATCTCACCAGGAACACCAGCATTTAACTCCACTTGCTGGTAACTATGGTTGTGTGTGACATTTACCTGGTCCAGACATTTTCCCTGCAATTGGATTGTGGTCAATAGTAGTCAACTTATCAATAAGCACTCAAGTGAAATATAATCTTGTCTTAAATAAATAAACACTTATGTGCAAATGTGATCAGTCCACTAAGTGATTTATCAAAACAAATCTGGCAGTCAGTGAGTGGTTGGGTCTGTCAATTAGCCAGTAAGTGAGTCAATAAACAAATCTACCATTAAAAAGCCAGTCAAAAAACCAATGAATCTGTCTGTCTGTCAGTCAGTCAGTCATTCAGTCTACCAGTCTGTCAATCCCTCAGTCACTTAATTCTCAGTTAATTAATGAGTTAGTCAAACAGTCAGTCAGTCAATCAAGCACAAACTTAAGTCACTCAATTAGTTTAAAAGTCAATTAGACATAAGTCAGTTATTCAATCAATCTACCAGATGGCGACAAGTCAGTCTTAATAACTTCATTACCTGAGCTGTAACTGAGAAGTTTTTGTCAATCCATAGTTGCTCTTTCTTCTTCTCGCACTCAGCAAGAACAATCTATTAAAACCAAAAGTAACTCTTTATTATCAGGATACAAGAAACACTTGCACAGAACATAATTTATGGCAATTTGAAATTTTCTCTATTGGTTCTTGTTAACTGAACTGACAAATTTAATCATAAATATTGACAATTATTAACAACAATAAATATTTTGTATATAAGATACTTAACTTATCATCATTACATGTAACTATTAACCACAAGCTGGAGTTGCAATTTACATGTAGCACCACAAATACCAGAGCCTACTCACAGGCTAAATAGACTGCAGTGAGAGGTCTTATAGATTAGTGTAAACCACTGGTAACTGGCTTTTGTTGAAACCACTGCTTCAGGCTAGGAATCCTTCATTCTAGTTTTCCTGGATACTACATACAAACCTCATATTCCTTTATGGCCATTGCCAGAGCATTTCTCCCTCTGAAGTAAGCATTCACAAGTTCATAGAACTCATGATCATCTTGTTTGCTAATCTGTCAATTAAGTTAAATGCGCATGTCAGAACTGCATACTAGACAAAACATTTTAAACAACTGATGAAAAAGAGCATGAGTGCCCTTTGTCGTCAGTAAGAGAACATCAGGAATTTATGATAAGTGGTTGTGTTCTTCAGATGCTAGCTAATAGCCATAATAGTGATAGTGCATACAAAGATGGTCTATTCCATAAACTTTGTTAAAATTTAATTGTATGCAGTCTGGCAATTGTTATGCATGGGCAAGTAAGAATGGCGTATCTTTGGAGGGAGATTTTAAATTGATTGTTGCCACAAATACAGGCTTCCCTAGCTGCCTCCCCTCACTTTTAAGGTGCAGACCTGTGAATATTGATTGGAAAGTACCCAACACGGAAATCAAAAGAATAACCACATGAAACAAACAAGAACACAACAGAGACTTGTGACAATTTTAGTGCAAACAGGGCTAAAGGAAAAAATTTCCATTAAATAATGATATCATCATGTGTAAGAGCTAATCAAGATAATGCCATGCAGAACCTTTTAATTCAGTGTTTATCATTCAAGTCACCTTCTTGTTTACTGAGATATGTGGTGTGGTAAAAAATATTCTTTGGTTCAAAAATTTTCAAATCAGGTTAATTTCAATAAGTTTTTCTTTGCCGACATGTAAGATTCTGGTAACCTTAAAAGATCAGAGATGAAGGAAAGTCAAAATTAAATTGGTTTGAAAATGTTGAAACAAAGGAATATTTGAAAAACAACAAGTGCAAACCACACATTATCAACTATTTAAATACCACCACAGGCAATCCACTCCCAGGAACACAGCAAAGTTCACTGGTGTTTGTTTGACTCATACCTTAATAAAGTGCTCCACAAAATCTTCCATCTGTTCCAACAGAGGGTTGAAGTACAGAGTTTTCAGGTGGTCTTCACTAAATGCTTCTAGAGTCATTCTGTACTGCCTTATGCTTGTTACTGTTTGTGAGGAAAGTCGCCAAAATGGTAAACAATTGATATACAGGGATTTATCAAACAAAGAAACAAAAACTCTCTCTTCTGCCTCTGTCCATTTAGTAATATCTTGCTGAAAACTAGTAGTACCTCTCATATAAGTAATAGGTTATTACCCTATCATGTTTCATGCATTTGCAATGCTCATCCTTGGGAACAAAATTTAATAAATATCTATAACTGGGCCCGGTAGTTCGAAGGTCGATTAGTGCTAACCCAGGATTAAATTTAAATCCAGGTTTCTGTATGTCTTTGTTCAAATGCCTTTTCTGGATAATTTTCTCTTTTCTTTTTAAAGCATCCAATGACCATATTTTGGACAAAGTGAATTAGATGGATTTTTCTCTAACAGCTTTCAGATCTGAAACCAGATTTCATATTAACCCTGAGTTATCTTAACCCAGCTTTGAACAACTTGGCCCTGGACACAATTCTCTTGCCTGCGTTAACCAATTTCTTTTTGCCAAACCAAAAAAAACCATTCATGATTAAATCCTTGACTGACACATTATCTTAAAAAACTGCTTCAGGAGGGAGTGGTATTTTCTCAAAACCTCTGAAGATAAAATGATCACAATGGAGAAGGTTTTGTCAAAATGTATCTTTCTGATTGTCTTTGGAAAATTTGGGTATATCAATGAAAGATCTTTTGTTCTTTATCTTACTGCGAGCATGGAACACAGGAAAATTCTGAGTCCCAATGAGAAAGCTAACCTCAGATGTATGGATTGTGTGCTCTAATGCTCTACCACTGAGCCAAAGGCCATTACAAGGTTCATACATATATGTGACACACGTCCTGTATACTAGTAGGATCAGTAAAGTCAAAAGCCTTGTTTGATTCAACAGAATGAGGAGGATGGCCAATTTTAAGCTTGGTAATATAGTTAAGAAAGATATGTTTTTGTCTGAACACTAGGATAATGCAAACTAAAAATGCAAGCTATCATAAGGAATCAAACCTTAGACCTTCAAATTCTGTACTCCAACCCTCTAGCACTGAGCCACAGAGACTCTATAGTGTGCAATGCCATTACTAGCTTCATATGCTCTTCTTATATTAAGTCACATATGAGGCTTTTGATACTACTGATCCTAGCAGTATGTGTAATATATATGAATTAACCAATCGCCTGGCTCACTTTAGAATCTCTGTGGCTTAGTGGCAGAGCACAGAAAACCACAGGTACGAGGCTGATGCATCATGGCAATTCACAGTTTATTCCAGGTCCCATACTCTTAACAAGATAACAAAAACATTGTTCTTCATTTCATTTCCAAGCTTAAAATTTACCACCTTTCTAATTCTTTTTTAACCCTTCAACTTCCAATATCCCATTAGTAATTCTCCTTACTGTCTGCCAAACAGTTCTTGTGTTGTTAGTTTGGAGAATTTGGCATTGGATCAACCTATAATCCTCTAACTGATATTTTTCTCTATCCTCATCACTTGTCTGCTTGATATTGTATTGATATTGTAAGGAGAAATTCTGTCTTGGTCACTCATGGGAGTTAAAGGGTTAATCCACACAAAGCTATCCAAAATGCCACTCAGGGAACATTGTTGCAAAACTTTGAGCAACTTTGGATTGGATCAGATCTACAACAAAAATATCTCTTTCCCTTAATTTAAACATTCATGTAGATAACAGGTAAACATGTACTTGTCTATTTTTAACATCTAACAAGGTGCAATATATAAGTGAGGAGCCAATTAGGCCTTACCTGACTTTTTGGCTAAAGAGTCTAGTTCTGGATATAACTGAGGTGTTCTTACATCCTCATTGCTTACTGGTAACTCCCTGTCACCAATTTGTGGTTGTAAATTTCCAGAACTGTTGACTTTGTCATCCTGTTGTGATCTGCTGCTACTCAAAGTTACACTTGTTTCATTTTCTTGTGTTTTCTCAACTTGAGCAGGAATTTGACGACTTCTCTCTATTTCATCCCCTGTGGTAGCCTGTGTTGTACTTTCACTGACAACAACATTTTCTAGTGTTGACATAAATTCAGGTTTGTTAACATCACTCTGAGCTTCATCTTTACTCTTATCTTTGTACTCCAGTTCTAAAGTTTCCCTTATTAGACTTCTATCTGTTTCAATTGCATTTTCTTTCTGTAATTGATCAGGAATTTGATTATCTGTGCCCATTTCAACTCCAGTTGTAGCCTGTGCTATACTTGTATGGACAGCTTGATTTTCAAGTGTTGAACATTTTTCAGGTTCATCTTTAACACTATGATCTACATGAGCTGAAGATTTTGATTCATTGTCATCTTTAGTTACTGAAGCATTCACATTTGATTTTGTCTCACTGTTGAAACTCTCCAGTTCTTTGACATCCTCAGTCTCATTTTCGTCCTTTTGTGAGGGTAAAACCTCTTCATTTTTCTCAGCTAATTCAGAAGTGCCGGGAAGGAGAGTACTCACTGAATCTTCTGTCACGGGCTCAGCTGCAAAAGCATTTTCACTTAACTTTGTCACTTCACTTGTTTCCCCTTCAGAAACAGTACTGAGAGTAGCATCTGTAAAATAATGGACAGGACTAACTTAAAAAAAAAATAGAAATGACATGATACATTTCGTAAATCGCTGTGTTTTCAAAACAAAACAAAACCCTCCGCGATGAAGCATGAGCATTATAGACCTTTTGAGGCTTCAGATTCTTTCCCCGCTGATGCAGATTTTGTGGCCGCATCTTTAGACCTTCGCTTATGTTTCCTCTTCGGTTTGGTGGCTTCCATCGCATGTCTAATTCAGCTGATTTTCGCAAAATCTATTATGGGTCTGCTCCTATCAGGATTCAGTCACTTCCAAATCAAGGGTCTATCCCATGACTCTTTGAGAACTTCCGGTTTGCAAATTAAAGATGGCGCGAACTTTGGAACCTCGCGGAAAAAATGTGAGTGAAATTTAGTCCCGAAAATCAGTTTTCATAACAATTCATTGTCTTGTCTAGAAATTTATAAGTAATTATGTACATATCAAGACACTCAGCGTATCTTAAGGGACTCCTTTTAAAGAGCACTCAAACGTTTTTTTTATCGTAAGAGCCTTCTATGTTTACGATTTTTTTCAAATGAGCCAGCGATGTTATATAGCCACGAGAAGCTCAGCTTCGATAGGTACGTGGTGTTTCCAGCACGTTTTAAGGCATACGGAGGTTTTGATGGCGAGACACTCTTGCAAGTTCGCTTTTCTATTTTTAACATTGTTTCTGGTCGTTCTTCTGGAAGACGGTTGCCTTGGCAAAGAGAAGAAACCAGATCCGAAGAATAAGAAGGAAAAGAGCAGTAAAATAGGCAAGAATGTGATGGATTACACGGAAGCAGATCTGCACAAATTACTCGACCAATGGGAAGTAAGCACGAAGACATAAACATTGTTGTTTTTCTTTTTAACTTCTCGCTTAAGGGTGTCAGAATCATTAATCATAGATTGTAGACTCACTTAAGGTATTTGGAATAGAATGGTATTAGTTTTAAAGTTAAATTTTCTTCAGAGCTATCATGAAAACATTTGATGCCCTGAAATGGCCCCTAATATTTTGAGGTGAATTCGATTGGAACACACATTTTCCATTTTTTCAGGGATGGATTCAATCTCGATTGTTGTCTCTTAAGTTTCTTTCAAGGGCTTTTCTTCCGTGTTGTAGAGTCCCTGAGACTCGCTCTTTATGTAATGGCTTCCAATTGTTGAGAATACCTTAGCTTTGTGATAGTTGGATTTCTGTTAAGGGACACCCCAGCTCAGGGGACGCCTCCATTTTTAGGGCATTGGCTTTGTTCCCATTTGAATGGAAAGCTCTTATAATCTCTGTATATTTAGGTGCTGTTCAAGGGACCTCTAAAGTGAGTTCCAATGTACACTTTTGCTGATCCTAAGGATTACACATAGATAATTGTTTAACCATGTAGAAGCCCTTTAGTTAATACATGTTCTCCCCTTCACTTAGGAAAATGATGAAGATATTGAGGAAGAAGATCGGTATGATGACAATGACCCCAGAAAGCCACCACCGCCAGGTGGAGGCTTTGATCCTCAACAGTTCAAGAATGACCCAATGGCTCTTTTGAAAGCATCTAAGAAGGGGAAAGTTATCATGATGTTTGTGTCAGTGGCTGGGAATCCAAGTAAAAAAGAAACAGAACAGATAACTGCAAGGTGGCAGACAAGTCTTTTCAATGCTCAATTTCAGATTGAAAGGTATTATACAACACATGAATATATGTCTTAAGTCTCATTTTTGTCCTGTTAGGCTTTCTTTTTTACAAATATTATTTATGTATACATATATATGTGAAGTCTGTGTTTGATTTTTCCATAGTACAGTTCTTGATATGTAGAAGTAGAGCATGATATTTATTGAGATAGGAAAAAACAAAGAGACTACAATTTCATCCCAATTAGCCTGTTTTGTGATTTAAACTCACTCTTCAGGGGATTTCAATGACAAAAATATTCATAACCATCATTAACATACTTTAACATTTGCATAATTGATGTGGCAATAAATTTGGATGTTTTGTTCAGCTGTTACACAGCAACATATATATAGCTGCTATGCAGCAACACACACACATATAATTTGATTGCATTACTTATGTCATATTTGTGACTTTTGCTAAGTGGACATAAAGGTGAAGTGAACCTGTCCCTCATCTTTTTGTTACATGTCTGAAATTTAAGTTTGATTCAGTCTATTTGACTCCACTGTGAGTTGTGTCTAGTATTTGAAATAATTTCCTGTTTTAAAAAAAAAGGGAAGAAAGGATGGATGAAAGAATTGTTCGATGCACAAAGTAGATCTACCAAGAGTCTCTGCAAATAACCTGCCTGAAGTAATTCACTATTTATGAATCTTCTGTCTATGCTCAGGTATATTGTTGCAGATGACCGTGCTCTCTTCATGCTCAAGGATGGTAGCTTGGCTTGGGATGTCAAAGATTTTCTGATTACTCAGCCAGATTGTAAATTAGTTGAATTTGACAATCAGCAGTTCCCAGGAGCTGGTGCAAAAAGTGATCCAACAGCTAAAACTGAACTCTGATGTGATGCCATTTCTCATTAATAATGTTAAAGAATTGTACATTATTTCCAGCTAGTATTTTTATTAATATGTTAACTCTGGAGTTAAAGATTACTGTAAACTTGAAATGATGCTTCACGCTGTTTAACCTTCTACACACTAACATTAGTATCCAAAATATCCATAGTCATCTCTATACATTTCATTGGAAGTTACTAAAACAAGGAATGACCTAAAATGATCTAAAATATGGCCATGATTGATTTCTAAAATGACTTAAAATGACCCAAAATTACCTTGAGTGATTTCTAAAATGACCTAAAATAACCTAATATCCAACCAGTCCAATCCAGATTTTGTCAGTGCTGCAAACTCAAGGTCATTTTAGGTCATTTTAGGTCATTTTAGAAATCACTCAAGGTCATTTTAGGTTATTTTGGGTCATTTTAGAAATCACTTAAGATCATTTTAGGTCTTTTTAGGTCATTCCTTGTTTTATAAACTACCACATTTCATTTGGTACTGACAACAAGTGTTTGTTTAACAATCAGCTTCTTATGTTGGCAATCATTTCATATATTCTCATGATCTTTATGAACAATTTGGAAGTAAAACTATAAGGAGAAATTAGATGCTGGTAACTCTTAGGTTTTAAGGGGTTAAACATGGCAGGTAACCAGAGACAGAAGCAAGCAAAAGACATTGAAAGGAGCCAGAAGGATCTTGGCAACCTGCTAAAGTATGCGAGAGAAATCCACATCAGACCTATTACTGGAACAAAATACATTTTGTAGGATGCAAGCAAAGCTCCTGATTTATGAAGAGACTTAGGTTGATTATGTAGATTTATAAATTTCCTGAGACATGCAAAAATGTTTAAAGGATGTGTCACATATTTTCTTAGCTTTAGGTTTTGATTAGGTTTTTGTAATCTAAAAATCCTTACAAGGAACAAATCACAGGGCTGTGCTCTAGCCAAGTGGGGTCACTCTGGCAAGTGGGAAACTGGTTCATTTATCTTTGCATTTGTGAAAGCTTTGCATCAGGTTTCTGTGACAAGAACTATCAAATACTATGTGATTCTTCTTATAGCACAGCTTTCTTAACACGTGAAAAGTGATGGTCTCTACATTTGTATCCATTGTAGACTACAAGCAGTCCCTCCTTTTGGTGTAGTCTGTTGCACAAGTAAAAAATATCAGTGAAAAAATTGTTATTGCACCACAGGGATTTGTAGGAGTGACGTTGATACACTGTGGTGCACTGACATCAATTTTTTTTTTCATTTATTCTTTTTGACTCGCACGACAGACTGCCAAAAAGGAGGGACTGCTCATGGCTGGTATTCATGGGAATCTCCCACCAAAACTGATTTTATCTGGAGTACCTTTGTTTTAGTCATACAAACAGTTGAACATGGATTGACATTGGAAGTCCTATGTGTTTCCTCAAAAGTTTGCTGGTTCAGATGTAGAGAAGATTTTTTCTCTGTAGATTTACATAATTTTTGTTTTCAGCCCTTGCAATGTAGTGCAAAAAGCACAGAACCAAAAGCTTTTTTCATTCAGCTTGGACATTGATAATACTTGAAGACTCTGATCTCTCCTCACAATATTTGGTCAATATCATTATAGGTAATCAATTTTGAAGTAAATCAATTATTCATATTGTACTCTTGGAAAACTTGGTTTTTTCACTTTTTTTCAAGCATAATGCATATTAAATGACTACTAATTTTGTGAAGTGCTGGTTTGTTTGTTTGAAAATTTCCTCATTTTGTTGCGGTCAAGTTGTTTATCAAAGCACACAAGTGATGTTTTCTCTACTTGAAAAGCCAAAGTTACTCATGGCAAGCATATATTTGCACCCTTGTTTCCTTGTATAAATGACAAGCTAGAGGTTAGAGTATAGAGGAGTACGAAGACAGGAAGATTGTGACCACCTGCCTGGTGACAGTGACCCACCCAATTCCCAGACTTCAAGCAAGTTCTTCTTTTTTCATGTTGTTGTCCATTGAATTTCCGTGTTCCTGGGCTACCCACCCTTCTTATAATCAAGCTCACCAGATTTTAATTCAGCCTTGAATAAGTTGACGAGGTGAGAATCCGGAGATATGCCCGTTCTAAATCTCTGCCTTTTTATTTTGGCTTTCAAAACCCTTCAAAACAATTTACCAATATTGTTGAGAATGTTTAGTCTGTGAAAAAGACAACGGAGAAAAAGAGAGTCTAAGCGTTACCATTAGGAGCCAAACGTATCACTGATGAACAGTGCATGTTTGGAAGAAGCAAATCAAACTCTTGCTGCAATCACTCACAGCCAAATTCAAATTATCACAGATATTGAGTTTATAATCTTGCCCCTTCTCCAGCAAAACCGACGATATTCAAGTGACTCAAATCAATGCAAGACCATTACAAACTTCCTCTCACCGAAGTCTCGGTTTGATTGCAGCATGTACTCGCGGGATCCCTTCTTGAATATGTTTGGTCTTGCAGGCGGCAAAAAGAGTTGCTGTGTCTTCGATTCTTCAAAAGAGGCCGCGATTTACAAAGTGTCACAGTTTCATGTTGATCTTTAAGTTGATTGAAGCCATTCGAAGGCTGGACTTACAGCTTAGGAAAAGGTCCAGAAAACGATACGCAACACAAGTGCCAAACATCGTGCCTAATGTTTACCTGTACTATGCAAATGTAAATCTTTCACTCACTTTGTTAGGATTTATTTAATGAGAAGGCAAAATTGAATTCATGACATGCTAATCTGTATTCAGTCGTAAATTGTATAAAAGAAATTAGGTAACACACTACGACACCATGAACCACAAACTCGCCGCTACGTTTGCGCCACGTGGCGTCAAACAAAGAATCTTGTCGACTTTCGGTAAAAGACAGAGGAATTACTCAAACGTTAGCCATTGACTTTCTCAGATTTAAAAAAAATGGTGAGACACAGTGAGAGTAAGCCCCGTTCAGATAACATCAGCGATTGATGTCACCTTGCATAACTTTGCTTCGACCACGTCCTTCTCTCGTCCAGCAGCTCTGCGATTGAAGCTTCTCCGCCGGGCTCATAGAGCCGGAGACTCAAGAAAAACATGTTTCTTTACGACTGACACTTTCTGTCATATGTCCGGGGACTTTTCCCAAAGCCAACAAAGCGTTGATGAGAAGTAAGCCATCAGAAACGAATTCTGGGCGCCCTTCTCCGTTTGTAGCTTCGTAGCAAGTCTTCACCATGTCACACAATGTAATAATGCGTCTCTTAATATATATTGTTTTAATGCACCAATCAAACAAACGGTTATGTAGGGCTTAGAAAAATTACCAATCAAGGAGGAGTTTTTATTAGGGAACTAGCCTCGTCTTGAGGGACAGACGTATAGTCACGCTACATATTCCGAGGGTTGGTTCACCTTAGAAAGTTTCGTTATTGACCGTATTTTGAAATAGTGCTTTCGATTAATGTGTGAATTGCGCGATGCCTTGGCAATGAGACTTTCATCTCAAGTCAACTGTGACAGACCATGAGTAGTCTTTCTTTTTCCTCTCAAACTGTTTGTTCTTCCTTATTAATATTGATAACATTCGCTACTTCACGCCATTTCACTACTAACTTGGGAACAGGCCCTCATGATTAGCACTTCGACGTGAACATCTCTTCGCCCTCAAGAAGGTATGAGGCCTTGATTCTCTGTCGGTCAAATATCGCTCACCCGAACTCCCCACTGTCCCCTGTAGGGAGAGGAGGGAGTTAAAGCGAGTGACTTCAGACTGTCTGAGTGTCGGGGCTGGGGTACATTTACGAGAACCTTAAGCCAAGGAAAGGGAAAGATCTCGTATTGATAAAAAACTGATTCCTTTTTTTCTCTTTTTCAGTTATCAATATGATTATCATTTTCTAATTTTTTTTTTCAACAGGTGCGATAAGCTATTTACATTACATAATCTACTTACAATACATAAATTAAAGTAATCAAAATACTAATGTACAGTACACATTTTATCTTATCATTATAATTATTACTAAAAGTATAATCATTCTTATAGTCATTATTATTATTACCATTATTATTATCAATACTACAATTATTTTGATGCAAAGAAACTAAGGCAAAATTTAAACTTAATGGAGGAGTTAAAACTTGTTTTTGACCTTGACCATAAAATAACTTTTGAACTTGCGTGAGAGCTTTTCAATACCAGATTTTATATTCGATCCATTAGACAGTGAACTGACAATATAAAAGGTATTCAAAGTTGATGTTTAATTTATTGTAAGTTTTATTTCTTTTCACTAATTTGAATATAAGCAAATATATTTTTGTCATCCAGAAAGTTTACAATTTGTCGTTTGTTTCTTTGTTTGTTTCATTCATCAAAACCATGCACTACTTGTGTTACCATGGATTCCTCTTAGTTTTGATATGGTCACACTAGTTTACAAGTCACCTTTTGAATGATGAAACCCACAATGTCTCCATGGAAATACAGGATGGTGGAACAAGATGCAGAATGTTTCATCTTATTTTTATTTTACAAATCTAAACCTTTTAATCATAAGAGTTGGTCAAAATCTGTTTTTCATCCCACGCTTCCAAATGAATGTAAATATCTCCTATGCAGTGGCACGCGCTACTTATTCACTTTAAAAAAAGCTGTGGTTTGAGACTTTCTTCATAGCTGTTCTGGGTTCATGTGGTAGCTCTAACTGTCTTAACCAGAAGAGTATGTATTCGAAAAACTCATAAAAATTCAAAAGTTTTGTAAACTATAGCAAGATAGGAGCGAAATAATTAGACCCAAAATGGAGATTGATGAGATTTGTCCTTTGGATGCTACCATATTGCACTGGTCTGTTTCACAGCAACTGACCTCACAATTGACAGCTTTATTCTCTCCACTCGAACCCAAATCTTCTCTGCATATTTCTTTATTGCAGCGTTCCTGGAGGTAAAAGGAAGGATCAAAAAGAGAAATGAATAGAATGGAAGGAACAAGAACTCGTTTCATATTCATAGCATTCAAAACGGTCAGTGGATTTTTCATTTCCCCTATGTGTAAAAAAGTTTCTACTCATCGCACTTCTTCGTAGGGAGGATCCTGAAATTTTTGCTACAGGAGGTCCAAGCTTTGATTCAGAAAACACGAAAATTTTTGCTTACACATTTACTTAGGCTTAGAAATATTTTGAGAGCTGTGACCTCTAGACCCTTCCCTGAGCTCTGCCTCTGTGCAAGGGTTTATAATCACCAACCAAGAGGGGATTGAAAAAAAAAGGCACATTGGAAAAGGTAGGATTGTGATGATGCCCAATAAATACTCACAAACAGCTTTAACAGCTTTTGAAAAGTTTATGAAAAGTTCTCCAAAATCATTCACACCGTAATGGGCATGTGCGAGTCCAACCGAATGAGACAGAATAACACAGGGTCAGTCAAACCGTCATCCTACCTTAGGAAGACAAGCAGCAACGAACTGGAGTTTTTGTTGATCATCTTTTTGCTTCTCAGCAGTAAAAGCATTAAAGCACACTTCCTTATTTGAGTCGCAGTTGCCAACCCTACTCGTGTAAAAACAATCCTTCCAAGAAATTGTGGAATAACACACGTAGCAACTTAAGGAGACGCCTGAGGAGAAGAATGGACCATATAAAATAAGCATAGGTTGTTAAAAGTTGTCGGTTAGCTCCTATTGTCTCTCTAAGGAAAGTTGTAGAAAGTTTTTCCTTTATTCAGGAGATAAAACGGAAGATAGGTTTTACCAGGAGCTCCTGATTTTATTGAACATTGCAGAAGCTGTTAAAGATAGGATATGCGGGCGATTTCATCGAATTACGTAATCCAAGAGAAAATTACGGCCATATAATGTTTACTTGGTAATCGAGTCACGTGACTTCTCAGATCGGAATCGCGCACTTCGCTTCAGTTGTATTAAACAGAAGAATAGAATCTAAAAAGTCTTGGAAAAGTGTTTAACGCTCTTTCTCACCCAAAAATAAAACCTTTGAAAGTGCTGGGAATATTTTCGTTTCTCTCAAAGCATTGCGTGATGAACCGTGGTCACGCAACAGACTGCGGTATTTTAGAGATTTTGCGTGAAAATGATTTCATTTGGTGCTTTATTCGTAATTGTAACACATTTCATTTTATTGTATTTCTTTCGTGTGTCGCTATTGTCAAACAAGGTGGCCGCCTGTGAGAGAGACAGGCTAGGGAATTTCGCGACTAAATCTCCGTCGTTCGAACGAATTATCACAACGTGGTAAACCAGAGGTGAATTTTAATTGGTAGTGGTTGAGACTTGTCAAACCACAGTGAGTGATTCTTCGCATCTTAAATGACATCTGATATGGCAATCACGGTGGAGTTAAGATTCAGAAAGAAAGGAAAATAATACGTTACAAGAGACTTGCGGAATTTTTTTCGAAAGATTATGCTTTCATTTATTTATCCACCTTTTCTGGTGGGTTTTGTTGGTATATTTTAGAAAGATAGTCTCGAGCATGGGATAAAGGGAAAAAAAAAAAACAAGTCTTAAGTAAGGAATCGAACTCCAAACCTTCGGATTTGTGCTTCGATGTTTATCTGGTAGATTTGCGGAACCACTGGAACTCTAGTGCATGTGTATTTTTCATCATTGAACTACACCGTTTGTGAAAATAATCGCTTGTTTGATAAACGGTCAAACTATAGGGATTAAGAGATGAAACCGATTAAGAGATGAAAATATGGACATGAAATG